TGCAATATTCCTGTTATGCGATTGATAAATCGGCTCCGCTACATAGCTTGAATCTTCATTGGCTCGAGAAGCCTGAATTTCCTTTCACTTAACTTTCTGCTGCTGTGCTTGAATTACACCCACACATTGCATTCTCTCTCTCTCTCTCTCTCTCTCACATCCCTGTTTTTTCCTTCATCTTCTTCAACTTGTTCCTTTGTTCTCTCCCTCTCTCCCTTTCTTCAACCTGTTTTTTCCAACACACCTAATCATTAAAAAAAAAAGAAAAAGAAGTTCATAAAAACTACTGATCCAATAACTTCCATGACAACAAATATACAGGTTTTACAAACAAATACTCCATAAAAACTGAAACCCACCAAGTGCGTGGTGGACCAATTCATCGCTCCAACATAGCTTGCACTGGATTGGGATATTAGATCTGTCATAAATCTATTCCTCCTCTCTCCTTCTTCTTCTTCTCTCATTTTCTCCTTTTCTTCTTCTTCTTCTGTCATCTGTTTCAGAGAAAAACAGAGGAAAAAAAAAAAACTGCCCAAAACTGAAACCCACCAAGTGTGTGACCGATTCATCGCTCCAACATAGCTTGCACCAGATTGGGATATCAGATTTGTCACAAATCTGTTCCCACTCTCTCCTTTTCCTTCTCTTATTTTCTTCTTCTTCTTCTTCTTCTTCTGTCATCTGTTTCTCGAAGGAAGAAGAAGAAGAAGAAGAAAAAAAAAAAAAAAACCTGCCCAAAACGACATCGTTTTGGGCAGTCGAGCCATTCGGGTTTGTGACCTTTCGAGTTACGAAACATTTTCTTTGATAAATACATATTAATAAGAGATCAATAGAGAGTTTATGAAATTAAGTGTGATAGATTTTCTAACAATTTTATTTAGATTTTAGTATAATCGTAGTGACTATATCAACATAACCGTTTATTTGTAAACGTCTTATATTACTTTTTTGGAGCAATGCTATATACCTATATTTTTAGACTTGCACTTTCACACACAATTATGTGGCAAAGGAGTTGGATTCTTTGTGTTGAATATAAAATAAATTAAAAATTGACACATATAATACTATATTGTGGGTACAATTGTAGATTTTTTTTTTTGTGTGTAAGTTTCAAACATTTTCCATATTGATATTGATATTTGTCCAATAACAATATGATGTACTTGAAACAAATATATTTATTCTATAAGATGTATAAAAATAAAAAATAAAAGCAATTGGAAGAAAAAAATAGAATGTAAATAAAAGAAAAAAGAATAAATAGAAGAAATTAATTTTTCTAATACAAGAAGTAATTTCGACGTAAAAAAGAAGAAGAAATTACCACTCAATTATGCACTTTTAGAAAGTTATTAGCGGTTCATGAAAAAGATTATGACTTTAATTATTAATATTTATTATACGAGCACGAAATAATCTTCTCGTATAATCCTGTTGATCAAGTTTGCATTCCTCCAAACGTCATCGCTTTATTCCCTAAAAACACAAACGTGAGCTAGCCGGCGGGTGTGTGCCGGATACCTCTCCGATGCCTAAGTTAGTAAAATAGACAATAGACAAAAGCTCTGTGTATTTGGGAATCAAAATTGTGATACCTGCACATAGGTCTGAGCTTTTATAAATTCTGCTTGGCACAATCCTAGTAGGATTCCAACTCTCTTTACCAGAGTCCTCATAGAAATCACACACCCTACTCACTACCAACCAAGTGAGATAGTTTGCACAATCCTAACAAGACTCTACTCTCCTTAGTAGAGTCCTCATAGGAATCAGAAAGGTAATGCTCATCTTTCTCCACTATTTCCATAACTTACCTAAGGGAGATAGTCTTACTATGGTAGAATAATAGGACGACCGATCTAACTTATTCCCTCTAACAAACTCAACTTGGTGCTTCCATGGGCATCGCCTAGCTCGGTCTCCGCCCATCTATACCTCAGTTGAGACTACTTAGACCGAGCGAACTATAGCCGTCTCTGACCGAACTAATATAAATAAGGTCCAAGTCGTGAAACCCAATCACCTTAGCCCACAGCCTAGCTCATTACTACACCCGGACCTTAGCTCGGCTCATAGCTCGGTCCATTACTATACTCGGACCTAGCTCACAAAATCTCTCTCTCATTTATAAAATTTATCACTTATTTATAATTATCTTTTTTTAATTTACACTAATTAAAATTTCCCTTAAAAAAATGTGACCTAATTTTGAAAAATTATATTTTATATAATAAAATCGATTAAATGTAAAACTTGGATTCGTTTGGGAAGTGGGTTGACTTTTTGGCTTTTATGACTATTTTAGCATGGGGTTAAAAAACCTCATTTGGAAACGGTTTTTGACTTCTTTTTTTTTTTTTTAGCTCTTTTGTGAGAGAAAAAATGTAATGAGTATAGGTTAAATGTGATATTTTGTCTTATTAGGCTAAAAAGTTTATTTTATTTTTTGTGACTATTTGAGCCAAAAAAAAAAACTCAAAAACTATGGCGTTTGTTTAGAGTTTTCCACTCCATGTTTGATTAGGCTGTGTTTGGTTAGCCTCTCTAAATATATTTTCACCCCATGTCTTGCACATGACGTTTGTTTAGAGTTTTTAAAATGTAATTCCACACTCAGTTTTGAAAACTTTGTCAAAGGCGGGAAAATTTGGGCTAACCAGTCGTCCCACTCGGTTGACTGGAACAGTGTAATTTTTATTTTTTTTTTGCAATTGATATATGTTAATTTTTATATATTTGAAAAGAATATTTTTTGATTTTTTTAAAATTTTTTATGTGTTTTAATAGAATTTTGAGTTGTATGTTTGGTTATGAGTTGTAAATTTTTATATCAAATATCATATGTCACATTAAAAATTCCCCACTTAATTTAAAACTCTTTCACCAAACAAATTTTTCACGCTCAAATCATAATTTCAAAACTCATAAATTTAAAATATAACTCTTACTCTCAAATCATAATTATAAAATTTTACCAAACGTAACCTAAACTTTTCAAATGAGCTCATATGTTAGTTTTAGATTCAAATTTTAATATTTTTTTATTTACATTTTTTAATCAATAAATAGATTCATCTCCCTATGTATATTCAACTCGCTTTTTTTTTTAGACGGGTATATTCAACTCGTTGATCTCATGAGTCGTGTACGCTATCGAGTATTTATGGGGGGAATTATTTAATAGTGGCATACAGAAAAAAAATTATAAAAATATTAAAGGTACAAGTACTTTTATAATGAGATATATGAGAAAAATTATAAAGGCAGTCTTGGTTGATTTGATTTTTCAGGTAAATTTTTAAAAAATATTTTGAGAAAAGAGTTTAAAATTTTTTTATAGTTTGTTTGGTTATATATTTTGAAAATAGCTTTAGAGTTTGGGAGTTTAAGATGATTTGATATTTTGTTATAATTGAGTAGAAGTATGTGAGAGAAAAAGTGATTGAAAAGAAGAGAGGAGAGCGAAAAAGTGATTGATTAATGTGTAGGAGAGAGAAAGTGATTTCGAAATTTTTTTTGAGAAAAATTACAAACCAAACAAATATTTTAAAAATTTTCTCTAAAATCTTTTTTCCAAAGCCAAACCAAACAAGGTCGTGTTTGGATATTTTTTTTTCTATCTAATTATTAAGTAATTCTCTTAATATTTAGGGCAAATTACAAACACCCCCTCGAGGTTTGGTGAAAATACAGATTCTCCCCTGAGGTTTGAGAAATTACATCCCGTTCCCTGAGATTTATATTTCCATAATAAATTGTCCCATGAGATTTTTATTTTCATACAGATTTCCTCCTAATTTGTTATACAAATTTGACCTTCAGGGGACAATATGTAATTTCTCAAATCTCAGGAGAATTTATATTTTCACCAAACCTCAGGGGATGTTTGTAATTTACCCTAATATTTATTAGGATTGTATTACATATTTATAGTGAACATGACATCATCAATCAAACAGAACAGTAATTAATTAAAATTTTATATTTTGAAGATGGCTTCTTTTTAGTAGTTTCTATTATATTAAGCCAGTAGTATCTATTACGAGTTTTATTTCAATAATTTGAAACGTTCAATATGTAAAACTCGTTAAGTATTTTATGCCTATAAAATAAAATATCACAATGATCAGATATCAGTAGCCCTTTAATCGGAACATATTTTCGTTAACAATTTATTTTTAAAATTATATTTACCATTGACAAAAATATATTCCGATCAAAGAGCTTCTGATGTTCGATTAACATAATTTTTTACAGATATAAATTACTCAACAAGTTCTACATATTAAATAATTCGAATTATCAAAACAAAACCTATAATACAGATATGTAATATGTTTTAGGGTCTTGTGGAATCTACTTCTTAAATTATAACCCACTAATTATAACCATCTTCCTAAAATAGCATAAGACAGAACAAAAGCGATCTCCTATATTTTCAAGGGCATTGATTCAGACCTCGTTTGAGAATAGGCTAATTTAGTAACTTTTTGGCTATTTGATTAAAATATGAGTTAAAAAAACTAGTTATGTTTGAGATGACTTTTTGATTTTTTACAAAAAAATGTGCAAAAAGTAAAGAGAAAAGAGAATTTTTTATTTTTTAGTATGAATTATTGACTTTTTGACTAATTTAATAACTTTTTAATTTTTTGACTAAAAAAGAAAGTTCCCCGACAAGACTTCAAACTCTTAAAACTCTCACCCCACACACACGTGGGGTTGAAAATTGAGAGAGAGAAAAAAAATAAAAAATAAAAAATAAAATTTACCAATCAAAAATAGAAGGGGTGAAGGGATGACCCAAAAGGTCCCAATCTCTACTCTATTTTTAATTCATAACGAAGTACATATGGAAGTGAAATTCTTTTAATTGATTTGACAATCGAACCAACGTACCCTACTGGTATTGGCCCTAGTTGGCAGCCAATAGCATGTTGACCACTCAACTCAACACTGTTGTGTTACACATACAACCGTGTCCATATATTCTCATTCACACACACAATGAATTGAGAGAGAGAGAGAGAGAGAGAGATGGATGTAGAAGGAACTCCGGCTCTCCATGGATATCGCATGCCTGCAGAGTGGGAACCTCACTCCCAATGTTGGTTAGCGTGGCCTGTGAGTTCTCTCTCTCTCTCTCTCCCTGTGGAATTTTTTCTATTTATTGATCCGATATTCTTTATTGTTCATCTCTTCTGATTTTTACATTTTTTTTTTCTTTTCCAATTCTTGCAAAGAATTTGATGTGTCTGTCGCTATCATTGATGAGGGTTTCAAAACCTTATCGTCATCATAAATTCCTCAGAAGAAAAAAAAAGAAAAGAAAAGAAAAGAAATTATAATAGTAAAGAATGAATTAAATTGGAATCAGGGTAAGGATGGGCGGTGACAGAGCCAATAAAAAAACAACTTTACTCTGAATTTTTTGAAAATGTTTTTAAATTTTTAAATTTTCATTGTTGTTCTAACAAGCTCAAGGTTGACCCAGAAGATTCATTTCGTTTTATTATGTGTATTTTATTGGTATTTTTTTTAGTTTTATTGTCATTTTATATTACTACATAGTTTTTTTTTTTAAATTATTATATGGGTCATGGTCCTTGTGTGTCAATGATGTTGGCTGGCTTTTGGCTTCTTATATGGGTTGGGTATATGCTGTATGTCATGAACTTGCCTTTGTGTGAAATAAGATTCTTTACCATATTTTTCTCTGCAATGATCTTGTTGTGGTAATTAACGTCCAGTTTAAGCAATAGGACTTGGTCTTGGGATTGATAATTTAAAATAAAAAAGATAATATTTTAATAATATTCGGTGGTAAAAATCATAGCAAGATCGTTACAGAAAAAGAATGGCAGAGGATCCAAATCCCTTGTGTGGCGCTCTAAAAAAAAGTTAGTTTTGGTTTCATTTATATAGCCCACTAGACAGAGGGGCGATCTGTTTGCAAATTGAAATGCCATTTCATGGTCTTGGTGCTTTTCATCTGCTTAAACTAATGGCACTAAGGGATGATCCACAGAGCACATGGCATGTAGATTCATAGGCAATTTGTCTGCTATTGAGAATTATGATATATACTTCTACCTTTGTGAATTTTAGCTTGTCATGTCATTTTATATGTATTTTCCTTTGTTCCTTTTTCTGTATTTTCTTTTAAACCAAGAATTTGGAGTTAAATTTGAAAGTAATTTTGTTATGAATATACCCCCAGTTCTGGAAAGGCTCTTTCCATGGGTCAAATCCACTCCACCAGTGACTCTAATGGCAAGCTAAATCGTTGCAAATATTTGCTATATATTGTCTCCATCAGTTTGTATATTGCAAATATTTCTTATTTTAGTTAATTTCATATATTGAGAAAGAAACCACGGAAGATTTCTGATCTTAAAAGTTTTTTTTTTTTTATGCTGATGTTGATTTAATCTTGAGGAAAATGCTAATGACTGGCTGTCATTAGTCTTGATGATGTGTAAAAATGTGTGAAAAGTGTATAGAAAACTGTAAAACTTTATGAAAAAAATGTAAAAAGTGCATTGGGATTTTAACTGTCTTAGCATTATTCCCACCTTAACGATGACCAGGGGACTGCTTTTAGCATGATCCTAATCTTATTCAAATTTGAATGCTATCATTTTATATGCAATGTTAGTGTTGTTAAGGTCTTCATTTTTGTTAAATTAGTAGTGTATTTTTTGTTTCTACAAGTTGTCTGTACTATTGCATTTCCATCTTAGTGGCTTAATTTTCAGCCCCCAATCCAAGCAATCCTAGCTTTGCCTGTGACACTACTATCTTTTCTTAGTTACACTTGTTTATGGAGTGGTCTGAATTACTTTTTATGTGCTGCTTCCAAATTGTACTTAATTCTTTCAACCAGAATTTCTGCTGTAGCGTGCTACGCTGGAATCCATGTTTAAGTAAAGGAAATATATCTGATGATGTGCCCTCCTTATTCCTTGGGTCTTTGGAGTTAAAATGCTTTATATTTCAATAATTGGAAAATGTTTTATATGCTAATAATTGGGTATTTTCTTTGATGGGTATTAGTTTGATTCTAATACCATTTATGTTTTTGGTGAAGCACATTACATGCATAAATTAATACACACACATTAAGTAATTATATGCTTATGATTGCATGGTTGTCTCTTCTGCTTTCATAACATTTACATCAGACATGTTTTTTGTTTTATGTTTGTTTTGGAGTCCCTTACTGATAAGTTACTACTAAATTTGGCATCTATAGACAACAAGACTTAATGTGTTCAACAAATGATCACAATTTTTGTTGCCTTAAATGAAGCGTTTCTGTTAAAAGCTTTAAAGCTGTCATGTTCTTCGCTACTAGATAGAGTTTCTTGCTTTGGCAATTTCTCAAATATCTAGGGCCTCGACTGAACTCCACAGACGACCAAGTTTTATATCTTCTCCATTTTCATTAAGATTTTGGGATTTTTATGTACACACATTTCAGCTAAAATTAAATTTTAGTGCGGTACTTGAGTTTTGGTTTTTAGGACCATGTGTTTTGATTTTTAGAACCATTTTGCTTCTAGTCTTTGGAAGTAGTGATTCGTGAAATTTTTTTGGGTGCTATCAGAGTAATCATTGTTATTAAGATCAAGCAGGCCTTGTGAAATTTTTGAGCAATATCAAAAAATGAAGAAGAAAAATGAGAGAAGCTTCTTAGCATGACTGAGCCTTACACTGTACGCTTTTCCACTGTTGTTTTAGTCCTCTCATATGAAAGGATTTTACTTGTTTCAATCCATTTCCTCTTTCCTTTCCATAAGAAAGTGTTCATCCATTTTACTTCTTGCCCTCAATGACCTTTTCTGTCTCGCCTGCCATTGTTATCTTTTAAAAAACAATTCCTTTTTTTTTTCTTTGTTGCATTTACAAGCAAGAGCAAGAAGAGCATTGAGTTCCTGGATGCTCGCAAATCGATTTGACAGCCTACCTTCATCATGAATTACAGGAACGTCTAGATAATTGGCGAGACAATGCAGTACCTGGCCAACGTATATTTGCCAAGGCAGCATCTGCAATCTCAAAATTTGAGCCAGTAACCGTCTGTGCTAGTGCTTCTCAGGTTGGTAATAGTAGTAAAAATGGTTTGAATGTTACCTTATTTCATGATCAGTGGGATATTTGAGACTTTGCTACCTATCGAGTCCGAATGTTAACTTGTTTTATGATCAGTGGGCAAATGCTCGCAGTCAGTTGCCACAAAATATCAGGGTTATTGAGATGAGTATGAGCGATTCTTGGTTGCGCGATACTGGGCCAACTGTGAGTATCTTCCTTCTTATTGGTAATGCTTTCCTTGATATCGTTATGGATTGAAAAGTTTATTTTAACCACTAAAATGATGACATCTGTTTGGGTAGTTTGTCGTAAGAGACAGCAAATCAAGTTTGGGGAACCTGGAGCGGAAGCTTGCCGGAATTGATTGGAACTTTAATAGCTATGGAGGTTAGGCTATGGAATATGTATTTATAATGTCTACTATGTTAAATTATTTAATTTTCCCTTAGAACTTTCTGAAAGTGCCCGACAGTTGGGTCTTTGGCGAGCACTAATGAATCGTATAACTTTGAACTACTCTTTTTAAGCAATCCATTTATTCAGCAATTTATCAAGTGTATGCAAACATGATTCAACGATTGCTTCGTTGCTGGAATACTGATAACTGATGCATATTTGTATATAATGATGCTTTTGAACAATAATCAATTGTAAGATTCCAAAGCTTTTTCTTGTCCAGTAGTTGGGTTACCCTTGCGATGGAACCACAAAATACTGCTAATCATTGTCCTGATTAAGTGTTACTTGATACTTGATAGCATCAGTTTCCATCTATTATTGCTGTATAGTTTGTTGCTTTGAGAAAAGTAAAATTCTGTTCTATTGATCTGTCTAAATAAAAGTAATTGCACTTTGATTGGTTTGAAATTTCTAGGCATCGATGAAGGTTGTTACAAAGACTGGAGTCTTGATATTCATGCGGCAAGGAAGGTTAGAAAGTTGTTTGTTTCAATTTTTCACATGTTTTTTTTTTTTGGGTGTGTGTGCGCGCGTGCGTGTGTGTGTGGAGAGTACACTCCTTTTTATATTCTCTCAAACTTTTTTCTTTAACTGTTAGATTCTGGAAGTCGAGAGAGTTCCTAGGTTTCCTCACTCTATGATTCTTGAAGGTGGAGCCATTCACGTAGATGGAGAAGGTATCATGTTTTACATTACAAGGAAATTATACAGGGTCATGTTTGGCCTCTTTTAAGTGATACATTTATATTTGAAGAACGTTTGGTTTTTTGTCTCTCGCCGATTCATTCATTCGTACATATATGATAACATGCACATGTATAGTTGGAGAAGAGATTGCTTAAATTTTTTATACTGGAGGCTAGTAGAAAGTTGATCCCCCTTTCTTTATTCAAGTCTTAAGATATTCAAGATGTTACAAGTGCATAAAATAGTTTTTAACAAGTTCCATTTCTTACCACCTCAGCTGTAATTTGTTAAGTGTTCATAAGCCACTTTGAACAAAATGATACGTATACAGAGAAATAGAAGAAAATAATTACCTGCCTTTTGGTTGCTTAGAATTGCACCAGAATTGTGTAATATAGCTGCTCCTTTGTTTTAATAGACCTTGGTCTTAAAATTCATTTCTTATGAATGAAAAGCTAAGAATCTTTTGTAGTAGCATTATTGGACAAACAATTGATGTTGGGCAGGGAGGGAGGGAGCAGGAAGGGGTTACATTAGCCGAGTAATGTAGTTCCTTATTCCAGCTGCTTATTAAAATCACTTTCATTGTCTACGAAGAAAGATAGTTCTTGTTACTCTTGGAATTCCCTCTATGTAAGTTGTACTGACACTTTGTGTTAGTACAGTCTAGTTGTTGGGATTATAGGGAAACATTGAACTAAAAAAAAAGGGATTATTTGGTGATTCATAGATCAGGCTCGAACTTTTTTGGAAACCAATTTTGATTACAATTTTTCTCATTATATTTATGTGAAAAAATACATTTTATTTTTTTTTAAAGAAAGAAGTTCAGGAATAAATACATTTTATGGATCACTTTAGATCATTAAATTTTATGTTTTGGAATGAAGTGTTACATATTTCAAAGCACATGTTCCCAATCTCCAAACCAAAATCTCTAGATTAGTAATATAATATAATCCAACAACACAAGGAATATAAAATCTATTAGGGTGATGCTTGATTATAGCTCACTATTTTTATTATTAAAGGGGCCATAGGAGTTCCTTTCCTTCTTCTCTTCCAATAATGAACCTTCATCAATCCTCCGCTTATTGTTCTTCTTTCTGTAATGATTCTTTAGGTCATATTCTATTTGTGACCATCAACTAATGCATCACTGTATAGTTTGTTTACACAAAACACTTCAAAACTAGATTTCTAGCAGTACCCTTATGATTTTGAATATTGCATATGTCAGATTTGTTCATAAATTGTTTCCTTCCTTCAGGGACTTGTCTTACTACTGAGGAGTGCCTCTTGAATAAAAACAGGAACCCTCATTTGACTAAAGAGCAAGTTGAGGATGAACTTAAAGCATATCTTGGAGTCAAGAAGATTATTTGGTTGCCTCATGGATTATTTGGTACCCATTCACCTTGAATATTAAGCACACATGTATAAATATTTTGCATTGAAATTTGAGATGCCCTTCCTGTATATTTCATCTATATTTTTTGGTCTACTTGGCAATTTAGATATTTCTTTAATTTGGTTGGTCTATGTGGCTATTTTTCTCAGCAGGATGATGATGAAGCATTCTCATGCTTAAAAATGATGCGTTGGTGTGCAATTATGCATGCAAACATGAAATTCATGTTGTATAGAGTGGGTGTTTGGGAAGTGGGTTTTTATGTAGGTTTTTTTAGTTGTAAGATATTATTAGATAAAAAAAATTTAGTGTTTGGAAAGATAGTTGGATTTTTTTGTGGTTGGATGTGATGTTCGTGAGAGAAAAAGTGAAATAATTATGGGGTTGGATGTGATATTTTGTTTGGATTTGTTTTTTTTGATTTTGCAAAAAGTTTGCCTTTTAGTGTAAAAAATAAAAAAAAAAACCCAACCCACAAACTTCCCAAACACCACCAGAGAGTTTCTGCTGAAACCGTAGTTCTAGGATTTGAACTTCAAATAAGAGTTTAACTCTGCAATATACGGTATCTGCTGCAATGTGTTGTGATGATCAGTAACTTGAATTGCAACCTAGTCCTTTCGAGCAATGGGCTCATGCCAAGTGCTTGACTTTTTGCATATCGAGAAAGATATAAATCATAGGGCTTTATTTTATTGGAAATTTCAAGCCCAGGCTGCTGCTTATGTTATATGGTATGAAAAGTTGTGTGTTCTGATGTTGATACCTAGAACTTAGAAGGGATACAAAATTCTGAAGTTAAATATAGACAAACCTGATATTTTCGTTTCCCTTGTAGGTTTAAGTGGGTGAAGTAGGTGGAGAGTATGTGGATTTAGTGGGTTAGGTTTAGTGGAGTAGGTTTAAGTGGGTGAAGTAGGTGGAGAGTAGGTGGATTTTAACAGTTGGTGTGCAATTATGCATGCGAACATGAAATTCATGTTGTATAGAGTGGGTGTTTGGGAAGTGGGTTTTTATGTAAGTTTTTTTAGTTGAAGGATATTATTAGATAAAAAAAATTTAGTGTTTGGGAAGATAGTTGGATTTTTTTGTGGTTGGATGTGATGTTTGTGAGAAAAAAAGTGAAATAATTATGGGGTTGGATGGGATATTTTGTTTGGATTTTTTTTTTTGGTTTTGCAAAAAGTTTGCCTTTTAGTGTAAAAAAAAAAAAAAAAACCCAACCCACAAACTTCCCAAACACCACCAGAGAGTTTCTGCTGAAACCGTAGTTCTAGGATTTGAACTTCAAATAAGAGTTTAACTCTGCAATATACGGTATCTACTGCAATTTTTGCATTCTTTGGGTAGGTGTTGTGATGATCAGTAACTTGAATTGCAACCTAGTCCTTTTGAGCAATGGGCTCATGCCAAGTGCTTGATTTTTTGCATATTGAGAAAAATATAAATCATAGGGCTTTATTTTATTGGAAATTTCAAGTCCAGGCTGCTGCTTATGTTATATGGTATGAAAAGTTGTGTTCTGCTGTTGATACCTAGAACTTAGAGGGGATACAAATTTCTGTAGTTAAATATAGACAAACCTGATATCTTCGTTTCCCTTGTATCTTACTATGGCCTCGTTTGGGAAGTGGCTATTTTAGAGGTTTTTTGGCTTTTTGGCTATTTTAGTTTTTGTGTTTGGGAAGATGAGATGGATTTTTATTTGAGTTGTTGTATTGAAAAGTGTGTTGAAATGATGTTTGAATTTAATATGACTAATTTGTCCCTAATATTATAATTTTTTAAATTGATGTAAAGGGGCAAAATTGTAATTTCCCAAGTGATGTAACAATTTGACACTTTGACAGTGTAGGCTGTGCCTACACTGTCGGTAGCTACAGCCTATTTTTTTTTTTTGAAAAACTTTGAACAGTGGGGCTTTTTGGCTTATTTGTAATTTGAAGCTATAATAGCCTCAACCTTTTCTTCCCAAACAGCGCCTATATATGCTACCTGTTGTTCATATCTTGCCATTTAGCAAGTTAATATCTTTGAGGTATGTATTATCAATATGTCAATACCTTAAGCATTCTTTTGGCGTTAACTTGACTTTGGTTTATCTATTGGCTGTCTTCAAATTTCCAAAGGTATAATGTACATAATTTTGCCTTTAAATATGTTTTAATATATAATTTTTTTTTTCTGTATTTTGTGCATTTCTTGTATATAAGATTTCTGCTTTGTGTTGTGAAGGAAAAATATTGACAAAAAAATGATGGTTATTTATATATTTTGCAAAGGAAATGGAGTAAGGAACGAAAGGAATTGCTATATGGACACTGCAGTCTTGAGAGATTTTGGGCTTGCTGGAAAACTCCTCCATTCTAAAAATTCTTAGAACAAATACAACAAAATCTAGCACTGCTTTAGTGGGGGAATGACTTAACTCCTTTGTGATTTTGGTTTTGAAAGTTTTGAAATTATTTAGGGGTTGTGGACAACAGGGAGAGGCGAAGGAATAGAGTTGGTAAGACGATTGCGACTATATATTTAGGATGGACCATCATACCAATACTTTATGAATCCTGCTAATATATGTTTCCTAGTTGCAGTTCAGAAATAGATGAAACGGAAAGATGTGATTCTGGTACCCATTATTTGACCCTTGGTCTATGCAGGATAGCATGCTTTGAGAGTAAAAACTTTATGCAAGGAAATGAAGTTTCCCTATCTATTGCGACTACATATTTATCTTCATCCTGTGCCTTCTGAATCCTCATCATCCTATCTATTTTCCTATGAGGATATGGGATCAATAATCTTAATTTTGACATTAATGTATACTAATTAGGCATTGTTTTTAATAAAAGTTTGTACACAGAAGTTGCTAGAGTTACTTTCTCCAACATGTTTGTGCTTTTTGCTGCCTCATCGTTGAAGCTTTTCTTATTGATTACTTAAGAGGACAAAATAAAAAGACCAAAGTTTAAACAGTATATTTTTAGTGAACTAAGGCCTTTAACATGGTGTTTTGTAGGTGATGATGATACTAATGGTCATATCGACAACTTGTGCTGTTTCGTGAAACCTGGTGTGGTTTTGTTGTCCTGGACTAATGATGAATCAGATCCTCAGTATGAGCGATCTGTGGAAGCCTTTTCTGTTCTCTCTCATGTTACCGACGCTAAAGGTAGAAAACTAGAAATTATTAAACTCCATGTACCTGGGCCACTTTACATGACAGATGAAGAGGCAGCAGGACTAATTCAGGTAAACATGATTCTTTGAATTTTACTGTCACAACTCTGTATCGGTTCTGGCTACCCTTTATCCACTAACTGAAAAGTAAATTTACATTTTTTGAGATGTTATGCTCATGTTTACTGAACAATACTGATGGAGATCAAATTTTACTAGTTTTAGGAATGTCAATCTGCAGAACTTGAGGTCAATTTTCCTCCAACAAGAGGGGAATAACGTAACCTAGTCAATGTGAGACCCACGAGAAGATGATAAATTGATTACTAGTGTTAAGTACTTTGTCTTTGATTTAATATTTTTATATTTTCTTTCTTTTAGGACTTTTAATGGCTTTAGTGATAAGACTCAAATTTTTTTAGGTATCTATGTTGGGTAGGAATTAGGATTGGTTTGTGAAAGTTTCCACACATATTCATGATTATCTACAGACTACACAACCTATAAATAGGCTCTATTGCTGTAAAACGAATTTGGTATCACATGCATGAATAAAATTAGATTTGATTGATGGATCTCTCTTCCTATGTGTTGCTGTTGCTTTTTCATCCTTATTCTCTTTCTCTTCTCAGGTGGTGGTTCTCTTCTCCTCTATGTTTCTCTCGTCTTTACCTCCCTCTCTCTTCTTCACTCTTCATTTTCCCTTCTCTTATATTTCCTCTTTTCATATATTTATATTCAATCTCTTATTCATTGTCCTTGACTTTCTTGCTATCTTTTCTCTCTTCCTTATATTCTTCTTCTATTTTATCTCTTTGTTCTTCTAGTCTCCTGTCTTATCTTATTCTTCTACTCTAGTTCATCTTTCTCATCTCCATCTTGTAATATGAAAAAACAAAAATCATCATATTATTTTGCCAATCACGTGTTCGAAGAAATTCTCATGAAGGCCATGCTACTTTATGTGTGTCTATGTATATGTATGTGCACACATACTCATGCAAGTAAATATCAAGAATTAAGGTGTCTGCATGAGTTTTTGTTTCCTTGACAATATATATACTCATTCATGTAAGCCATTATGTTGACTCTTGACAAAAAAGGAGACATTGTAAATTTTGTAAATTTAGTTAACCTCTGTGAGAATGCATGTATGCGATTATCTCCTTTCATCCTGATGTTCATTTCCTGCTTTATTTTATGTGTTCTATTAATCATGTAAGACGTAAATCAAATGCATTAGGACCTCATATTGCTGATGTTTTGAGAACAGAATGGCGAGGCTAAACAACGACTTCCGGGATCAAGGATTGCTGCTTCTTATGTGAACTTCTACATTGCAAATGGAGGTATCATCACACCGCAATTTGGGGACCAAAAGTGGGATGATGAAGCAGTTCGTGTCCTTTCTCTGGCCTTTCCAGATCATGAAGTAAGTGATAGTGTTAATTCGTTGTTGCCTGGTTATCTACATGCTTTACAACCTTCATTCCTAGAACACATGAGAGTGAAATATCAGAGCTTTTTGTCTTTATGAAGTCCATATCTATCAGACTCTAAATGATTTATTGAGCCCAAAGTGTTGCCCATGTAGTAGTACTATAGCAAGAGGCTTTTGACACAACTCATTTTGATCAATTATGATGAATGAAAAACTGATGGATTAAAAGCTTCAAAGATTTAATCCAAAATCCTTATACCAATGTAAATCTGAACATCAAAGAAGGTAGACACACCAATGTAGGGAACGTGAGGACCAAATGTGGAATAATAAAGACAATTGACAGCTAGAAATCGAATGCTATAATTAATGGTTCTAAAGTGAAAAGGATCATTTGCAAACTGTTTATGTTGTTTATTTTTGACCATTTATAATAATGCCAAGGTGGTATATTTCTCTGTTACAACTATGGGAAGTTGCAATAGTCCAAAATGCCAAATGGTTTGAAGTGTCCAGATATTTATTTTTCTTGTGGTTTTTCTACAACACGGTACTATAAAAAGACAATTCTCTGTGCTTCTGGAGATGACTGCTAAACTAGGATTCTTGTGACTTGGAAAAAATATAATATTTTAGTAATCAGCAGGCATGTGACACTGTCTCTTCAGTGGGATCATAATATTCTATATAATCAAGGTTATCTTTGATGGAAGTAACAGAAGGAATGCTTGAAAATCTGTATTGAAGGATTGGTTCTTTTGTTTATTCATTTATTTAGTAAACCTTTTAAGGGACACCTTCCATCTTATTTCCTAAATTACTTATAGGGACAATCTGTCTTACTCTTCAGGAATAGTGTGAAATGGGTACTAATAAAATGATGAATTTAACATGTTAACAATGTCAAGTCTTGAGATGCTAAAATGATCACACTCATGATATGGGATGGAATCGCCGCAAATGCCACAAAAACAAGATGGGGTATTTTGTTTTGTTTTTAGGGAAAAGTGGTTTGATTAATTTCCAAGATGTATTGTTAGAAGGTGTATTTTTGTTTTGCCGGTATTACTGATGAACAAAGCTTAATCTTCTTGGTTGTTGTTGGTTCAGGTGGTGAGGATTGAAGGTGCAAGGGAGATTGCTTTGGGAGGTGGAAACATACATTGCATCACACAACAACAACCAGCCCTTTTGTGAGAACTGTGAAACATTGTTATGGAGGCGTTGGCAACACTTCTCAAAAAATGAAAAAACAGAGATTGGTTCAGGCTAATTCTATCATTCAAGATTAGCTTGATAGTTGGTTTGTCCACTCTGAAGTTGTTGCTTGTCTATTTCTTGGTTTTCAGTTCTCATGAACTATATGGTCTGTTTGTTTGTCTCTATGAACCAATACTCTATATTGTATGATTTTTTTTATCATCTACTGAAGTTCTAGCCAAACAAAAATAAAAGAAGAAGATGAAGAAGAAAGATTAGCTTGGTAGTTATACGGTAAAGTTTTATTGACAAACCTTGTCAACAATGTAATGGTTTAAAGCTGACTTGTCAAAATTTGGGGGGGAATATCTATCTATCTATCTATACTATTATAAAGTGAACACATAATATGGTGTCCCGAAACTTTACTCTCCTCATGCCATGTGGCAGTATTTTTTATTTTTTTAAAAAAAGTTAAACAAATAGATGGGCAAGGCTTGAACCCATGACCATGGGTTTAAGTACGACGACTCATTGTCCACTCTGAAGTTGTTGCTTGTCTATTTCTTGGTTTTCAGTTCTCATGAACTATATGGTCTGTTTGTTTGTCTCTATGAACCAATACTCTATATTGTATGATTTTTTTTATCATCTACTGAAGTTCTTCTAGCCAAACAAAAATAAAAGAAGAAGATGAAGAAGAAAGATTAGCTTGGTAGTTATACGGTAAAGTTTTATTGAGCCTGTGTTCGGCAAGGGCTTTTTTAGGTTTTTTTGGCTATTTTAGCCACAAAAAACAAAATAAGCTATTTTAGCCCTAACAAACAAAACATCACATCCAACTTATAATCATTACATTCTTCTCTCATAAAAAAAGTCAAAAAAGTCAAAAAGTCCTTCCCAAACCAAGCTTTTTAGTCCAGGTTAAAATAGCCAAAAAAGTCAAAAAATTAAAAAGTCAACCCACTTCTCAAACGGAGGCTGACAAACCTTGTCAACAATGTAATGGTTTAAAGCTGACTTGTCAAAATTTTGGGGAAATATCAAATAAATGGGAAGAGAAAAAAATAATAGCAAATTAAAGGAGTGCAGGTGAGAAATGTGTACGGTGTACTTGAGAATTGTGTAAAACCGACACAATTTACGCTGAAGTGATTTGCAATTATTTTTTTTTTATTGGATACTTTCCTAAGTTTTGTTACTAATCAGTGTGTTTGATTTGAGTTTTTTACATTAAATTTTTTAATAATTGAGTTTTTTAATTTTCGTATTTTTTTATTTTTAGTGAATATTTTTAAAATTTTAAATATTTTTTTTACTCTTTTAGATGCACCTTATTTAGATGTATCTAAAAAATAAAAAATTTATAAAAAAATATTTTAAAAAATTAATAAATACATAAAAATATAAAAAATGTATTGAATTTTCGTATTTTTTTTGTATTTTTGGTATTTAGTGAATTTTTAAAAGATTTTTTTTACAAATTTTTTATTTTTTAGATATATTTATGTTAGGTAAGTTTAAAAGGTATTTGCTAAGTTTTGTTACAGTATATTTGGTTTGAGTTTTTTAAATTAAATTTTTTTAAAATTGAATTTTTTAGTTTTTTTATTTTTAGTGAATATTTTTAAAATTTTAAATATTTTTTTTATTCTTTTAAATATACCTTATTTAGATGTATTTAAAAAATAAAAAATTTGTGAAAAAATATTTTAAAAAATTAATAAATACATAAAAATATAAAAAATGTATTGAATTTTCGTATTTTTTTTTTGTATTTTTGGTATTTAGTGAATTTTTAAAAGATTTCTTTTATAAATTTTTTTACTTTTTAGGTATATTTATGTTAGGTATGTCTAAAAAGTAAAAAAAATTCTTAAAATATTAAAAAAAATTCAGTACAAACAAAAAAACACGAAAAATGAAAAAGTAGAATTTTTTAAAAAGAGTTTTTGGAAAATTCGAACCAAGCATTGTGAATAATTTTTTGGGCAAATTACATATATCCCTCGAGGTTTAGCAAAATTATAAATATTTTCTTGAGATTTGAGAAATTACAGATACCTTCCTGAAAGTTATATTTATATAACAAATTAGGGGGTAAATTGTTATGAAAATATAAATCTTAGAGGGTAATTTGTTATGAAAATATAAATCTCAGGGGGGTATTTGTAATTTTTGAAACCTTATGGAATATTTGTAATTTAACTAAATTTCGAAGGAGGTATATATAATTTGCCCTAATTTTTTACATTTGAGCATGACTCTTTCAGGTTTAATAATGATAAAATCAATTTAGATAAAACTTATATTAGATTAGACGACGAACATATCTGAATGATTGGATTAAAGCATGACTAGTGCACCTATAACATAATTTTTATTTTTATTTTTGTGAGGAAATAACACATTATTTGATAGATTTAAAAAATAAGTAGTTTTTTTTTTTTTTGAATTGAAAAAATAAATAGTTTGAATCATTGAAATAAGTCTTAAATAGACTCTATGAATTGCATAATAGTGATTGTTATGTCCTGTATAGTAGCTACGCCATCTCCATAATGCATGATAGTAGTAATATCCCATTCAAAGAGAACAACTTCTCTCCATTTTGAAATCGGATGGAACGATGCTATTGGGTCGCGGTGGGTCAACTCTAGACCCATCTTGATGATCCTTATTAAAAATTATGTTGATCGGATATCAATAATTACTTGATCAAAATGCATTTGTTTCAACAGTAATTATGATTTTAAAAATAAATCACCGATGCAAATATAATTTGACTAAGTGGTTATCCAATCAACTTGTTTTTTTATAAGAATAATATACTCAATAAATTCTACATATTAATAAATGGTTTGGACTATTAAAATGGACTAGGAATTGAGGCTTCGTTGGAATGTAGGTTGGCTTTTTGGTTATCTGGGGCTAAAAAGTATCGTTTGAGATGAGTTTTTTTAGTTTTTTTGATTTTTATGAGAGAAAAAAATGAAATGATTATGATTTAAATGTAACATTTTTTAACCTGGGACTAAAAAGTTTATTTTGTCTTTTTGTGACTATTTTAGTCCCAGCTCACCCCAACCCATCATGCCAAACAAGTGTTGAGTCTACTCAGGCTTATTTTGGCAACTTAAGTAAAAGCTGATTTTTTTGGTTTTTTGGTTTTTTTAAGTCATATCATCTCTTTATTTTTTTACAATTATTTTTTAAAAAAATTTAAAAATTAACTTATAATCTACTTCTCAAAATGAGCCTAACACTCAAATTCAATAATACTGTCCAATTTATTTCCAAACAGAGAAGAAGCTGTTACATATTGAAAGTCAAGCCAGGCTTAATCCGAACTGTTAATTTGTAGAGCTCGTCGAGTACTTTAAAATGGACTAGGAATTGAGGCTTCGTTGGAATGTAGGTTGGCTTTTTGGTTATTTAGCTTGGAGCTAAAAAGTATCGTTTGAGATGAGTTTTTTAGTTTTTTTTACTTTTATGAGAAAAAAAAATGAAATAATTTTGATTTGAATGTAATATTTTTTAGCCTGAGATTAAAAAGTTTATTTTGTCTTTTTGTCACTATTTTAGTCCCAGCTCACCCCAACCCATCATGCTAAACAAGTGTTGAGTTTACTGAGGCTTGTTTTGGCAACTCAACTAAAGCTGATTTTTTTAGTTTTTTGGTTTTTTTAAGTCACACTATCTCTTTATTTTTTTACAATTATTTTTAAAAAAAATTAAAAAATTAACTTATAATCTACTTCTCAAAATGAGCCTAACACTCAAATTCAATAGTACTGTCCAATTTATTTCCAAACGGAGGAGAAGCCATTACATATTGAAAGTCAGGCCAGGCTTAATGCGAACTATTAATTTGTAGGATTCGTCGAGTACTTTATTTCTATAAAAAATCACATTGATTGGATATTAATAGTTACTTAATCGGATCAGATTTCTGTTAACGATAAATATAATTTTTAAAATAAATTATTAACAAAAATCTGATCCAATCAAATAATTATTAATATTCGATAAATATAATTTTTTACAAAACTAAAATACTTGACAAAATTTACATATTAATTAATTTAAATTATTAAAACATAATTTATACTAAACGTTACAAACCTAACAGTATTGTCCAGTCCACGCAAATGAGCCGGAGACCGTCATTTATCATCACACAAATTGTCAAACTGGAGCCCACAGCATTAATTGTGTAATCAATAACATCACACAAATTGTCAAACTGGAGCCCACAGCATTAATTGTGTAATCAATAATAAAATATCATAGATACCTACAACGCTACAAATAAACGTATGACTACATTTCGTCTTAATTGTATTTATTTATAATTATATAAAAATAAAAATAAATAGGAGAAATTATTTAAAAAAAACTCTTAGGGTTGCCAGGGCAAAACAGTGTATGCATTAACACCGAGAAATTGTTTGTAAATAGGAAGTTTTCAAATTGGGATCTTGATAGAGTACTTAGGGATTGTTTGACATGATCTAAATAAGTGTATTTTTTTATTTTTTATAAAATATGGGTTGGGTTTGAGTTAGGTTTGAAGTAATGTGTTAGAGAGGTGATGTGAATTAAATAAGATAATGTGACTTAAATAGAATAGTGGCTTTTTGTCTCAAACTTGACCTTATGTTTTGGGCCTTATAATAAAATAAATATAGAGTTTTAAATTTTATTAATTTAAATTTAAATTTTTTAATTTATTTTCATTTTAAATCATTAATCTATTCTCGTTAATTAAAATTGTCTAAAAAAATATATTTTAATCATTAAACTCAATAAAAATGGGTGTTTTAGACATTCTTTGTACAATTATATTGAGTTTAATGATTAAAATTTTTATTTTTTTGGTCAATTTTACTTAAGAAAAATAGATAAATAATTTTGATTGAATTTTTTAAAAACAAAATTTAAATTTAAATTGATAAAATAAAAAATCTGCATTTATTCTAAAGGTCTATTTCTAAATTCTTGGGCCAATAGACTCAAGCTTAAATCTTTTTTGGCCAAAAAGACATTATTTGTCCAAAAAAATGCTTGTTTGTTGAAAGCTTGCTTTTCTAATTATCTGTTCAAATGTTACTTATATATTTAAATGTCCCACAATCTATACACGTGGTGTCACCAATCTACGCAATTATTTGTTGAAATATCCACCTACTCGTTCAAATATCAAATTATCTATACACATGTCATCCATTTGTGCAACTAGCTATTGAAATGTTCAATTATTTATTTACATGTTCCATTATTTGTACATATGTCATATATCTATTCATCTACCTATTCTTTTTTTTTTTTTTTTTGTCCAAAGTTAGATTTCATCAATAGACAAAAATAAGTACATCAAGAGTGATTAGCTCCAACTTTAAAAGGAATTATAACCAAGATTCAGTGTTTCAAACCAAAACACTCGAACACTTAATAACCATAGTTTGCAACATACTGCGACCATCAACTAACAACCCTAACTACAACATACTACAGCCATAACCAATAACCATACCTACAACATACTATGGTTATTAGGTGTACCTAGAACACACATCAACCACAAATAATAGAGACAAACGCAGACCTCCATGGATGAGAAAGAAAAGCCTCCACAAAGGAGGAAAAAAAGCAACAAAATAAAAATACAAAAACACTAAAAAAATCATAAAAAAAATTACAGTCGCACAACTCGTAGCGTAAAACCAATAAGCAACTTTGGCAGCAAGCTCAAATCTACAGCCGACGGAGGTGGTGGAAACTTGAATGGTAGAAAACCTCAAATGGGAAGGCAAAAGATCAAATATGAGAAAAAAAACAAATTACCCACGTAGACCAAAAGGACAGGGAAGAGAGAGGGGGATCGGATGTCACCATCCTTCACTTCCCTGTCATGGTAGCAAGAAAAAATTGTAAAGTTTAGAGAGAGAGACTTTAATTTCTAGAGAGAGAATAGAGAATAGACCTATTCAATATCATCTATTTGTTCAATTAATTACCACTAACTGTCCTTAGATTTAATACCTAATACACTTATGAACTTGAATTTACCAACAATTTTTCCATGAAAAATTTAGAATTCATTATTATAATGATCAAAATTTGGAAATTTCATTTTTTGGGTGATAATTTTCTTAAATAAATATTGTAAGACACTTGAGTTGAGAGAGTGCAAGCGTGAAAAATCAGATTAGAAGAAGCAAGCACACTAACGAACTGAGCTATTTATGAATAAGTTCGGCTCAATTTGTTAAGGGTTTGACTCGACTTGACTCAACTCGTTTAATAAACGAATCAAGCTTGAAATCAAATATTAGAATCGTTTAATAAACGAGTTGAGCTCGAACTCGAACTCAAACTTGAATAAATTCGACTCATTTATCTTTATTTAAATTATATAATAAATATATTAAATAATATTAAAAAAAATATCATCAAATCAAACTTAAATTTCATTAATATAAATAAATTGAATGAAATCGACTTGCCATTTCTCACTTTTTTTTATATTTTTAAATTTTTTTAAATATTTTGTCAATTACCAAACACGTTTGTAGTTTATGTTTTTCTAAAAATAAACAAAAAATAAACAAAAACTAATTTATAAAATTTTTGTAAATATAAATTGAAAACGTAAACGTTATCAAACACACCCTAATAAATTGAATGAAATCGAGTTCAGCTCAAACTCAATTACTTATTTAACTGACTTCGTGCTCAATAAAAATAAACAAACAAATCGAGCTCCTTTACAGCCGTGTGGGCCTAATGTCCACTGTGAGATCCAAGATACAACTTTTAATCAAACGAAGCAAAAATATATTATTGTAATAAAAACTCTCGTTCTCACTCTTGAGGACCCATTGCGTAAGATCTGTTTCAATTTTTGCCCATAGAGAGAGAGAGAGAGAGCAGAACCACGGTGGTGGTGGTGCGAAGATGGGATGCTCGTTTTCAGGGCTGAACGCTCTCTACGACGCCGTGAATGGTGGCGGAGATGTGTGGATCAATGAGAACCGTTTCAGGATCTTGAGGCAGCTCGGCGAAGGTGGTTTCGCCTATGTCTTCCTCGTCAAGGAGGTCCTCACTGAGTCCGCCGCGGCTTCCGGTGATGGCATCGCCAAGAAACTCAAGGACCCTTCTCGCGTCTCTGGTTCGTTCCTTTCCTATTGCTCTTTTCATCGGTCAATTCTGAATTTGAATTTGTAATTTGATTAGAATTGCGCATCAACAATGCCACTCTACATGAATTTTTGAGTTTTGACCTTAATTTCTGGTGTAATGTGTTTGTTTTTTGGTCTAGATTTAATAATTCGTGTAAATTTGGATTTGTGGGAGGTGGGTCGGTTTCATTTGTTTCTGGATTTAATGGGCTGTTTGTGTTTATAATGAAGAGAATTGGGTTGTTTTGATATGTGGGTGGTGTGTTTATTGCTCTTTTGATCGGTCAATTCTGAATTTGAATTGGTAATTTGATTAGATTTGAGCATCAACAATGTCACTCTACATGGATTTTTGAGTTTTGACCTTAATTCGTGTTGAATGTGTTTGTTTTTTGGTTTTGATTTAATAATTTGTGTAAATTTGGATTTGTGGGATGTGGGTCCGTTTCATTTCTCTCTGGATTTAGTGGGTTGTTTGCGTTTATAATGAAGAGAATTGGGTTGTTTTGATACGTGGGTGGTGTGTTTATTGCTCTTTTGATTGGTCAATTCTGAATTTGAATTGGTAATTTGGTTAGATTTGAGCATCAACAATGCCACTCTACATGGGTTTTTGAGGTTTGACCTTAATTGGTGGTGTAATGTGTTTGCTTTTTTGGTTTAGATTTAATAATTTGTGTATATTTGGATTTGTGGGAGGTGGGTCTGTTTCATTTGTCTCTGGATTTAATGTGTTGTTCGTGTTTGTAATGAAAATGTTGGACCGGTCCATATTTGAGAATTGGGTTGTTTTGATGCGTGATTGGTGTGTTTATTGCTCTTTTGATTGGTCAATTCTGATTTTGAATTGGTTATGTGATTAGGTTTGAGCATCAAGAATGTCACTCTACATGAATTTTGACCTCAATTGGGGGTGTAATGTGTTTGTTTTTTTGTTTAGATTTAGTAATTGTGTAAATTTCGATTTGTTGGATGTGTGTCTCTTTCATTCCTGTCTCGATTTAATGGGTTGTTTGTGTTTAGAATAAAGAGAATTTAGTTGTTTTGATAAGTGGTTGGTGTGTTTATTGCCTCTTTCATAGATCTGCAATGTGACAATGGTTTTGTTTCAATGATGCATTTGTTTTTAGTTTGGGACTCTATAATGGTTGAAAAAAAGAGGAAAAAAGGGTATACTTGTTTTTTTATTTGGATTGGTTTGATATGCAGACGATGGAACTTATGCGATGAAGAAAGTTCTCATTCAAAATACTGAGCAGTTAGAGTTGGTGAGGGAGGAGATCCGCGTTTCGTCGTTATTTAGCCATCCCAATCTGCTTCCTCTTCTTGATCATGCTATAATTTCAGTTAAGGTAATCTTTATACTGATCTACATATGTTACTCCTAATTACAAATATGCAAAGATATCATTTATCGACACCAAAAATAAATAAATAAATAAATTGCAAAGATATTGGGCATGAGAACGTTAATTGAAGGAGATTTTGATATTTTGGGCATTTACAACTCCTCTTAAAGCTAAGTTTTAAAAGTTTACTTTTTGACTCTTACTAGACTCCAATATGAAACACTACATACTTGATGACAAAATGTCATAAATTAATGAATATGCTCATGCAGTTTTACATGAAATTAGATCGAAGAACACATTGCATTGTTTCTAGACATATTCAATCTTTAGCACTTGGACACTTGGGCCTCTACACCAAACTTAAACACCTAGCTCGCATTTTTTCTACGAAATTGCCATCACACTAAATCCTAAATCCCGTAATAGAAATATTTTGTAGCAAGGTGTACTAATCTTGTGGCTAATATAAATACCAATTGGTGCAATTATGTGTTAAATCTTAGCAAGGTGTACTAATCTTGTGGCTAATATAAATACCAATTGGTGCAATTATGTGTTAAATCTACGAAAAGATGGTGTTAATCATCTCAAATATAAAAACATGAAATATGAAGTTTGTGAAAAGTCTGGGTGGCTTTTAACCAATAATGCATGAAATTGTGACCACGTCGAACTTTTTGTATTGCTTACTTTGTTTGGCTGTTTTTTTTTTTTTTTTCCTTCTTAACAAATTGGTTATTTATAAAAAAAAGATTCTCTTTTATTGGCTAGCCTACACAAGAAGGATCTTGGAAGCATGAAGCATACTTGTTGTTCCCAGTTCATTTGGATGGAACATTACTGGACAATGCTAAAGCTATGAACGCTAAGAAGGAGTTCTTTTCTACTTCAGATGTTCTTCATATATTTCAGCAGGTGAATAAAAATCGTTATATCTATTGAAGTTGTGGACTAATTTCCCCTTCTGCATATATTTTCAGAAGCATTTCATGTCATCTTTTCATGAAATCTGTCTTCTCATCCGAAGAAGAATGTTTTGCATCCTACTGTCTTTTGGAGATATGTTTTTGCTGTACTGATTTTACCATGTAATGTAACATATCTTCTTATTTTTTAGCTTAGCTATTGTTGGCTTTTCCATTTTCTCAGTCCCTCCTTAAAGCAGATTTCCTTCTGAAACATGAACAAATTGGTTTGGTTCACACTTTCAATATTGTTTAGAATTAGGCTGCAGAGTATTTGTGCAAACCATTAGCCTTTAATATTAGCTATTGTATGCTTTTGCATTTTCAGCTTTGTGCTGGACTCAAGCATATGCACAATTTTGATCCTCCATATGCACATAATGATGTCAAACCTGGCAATGTCCTTATAACACATAGAAAGGGACAACCACCTCTTGCAATATTGATGGATTTTGGAAGTTCTCGTCCTGCAAGAAAGCAAATTCGCTCTCGTTCAGAAGCACTACAATTGCAAGTAATTTGTTAACTTTTCTCCTTTTTGGCATGTGCTATTAGCTCTTCTTCATGTTGGTAATTTGTCCCTAATTTTTATTTTTATAATTATGTCTTTCTCCAATTTTTTGGTTTTTATGTTAATTCTTTGGCATTTATAATTATTAACTGTCTCAACATGGGCCCAATTGAGGCAAGCCTGCGCGTCAATAGGCTTATGAACTTATTTTTGTTGAACATCGGAGCTTAACTGGGATCATGTTTGTCTGGTGCTCTGCTGGCAATGCTAATGAAGGTTTGACTTCAGCAGCTTTGGCACTGGTTAACTCTGCTGATTAGTTGATCAATTCTAGTACCAGTTACATAACAGAAATACACCCACACACACTGTGTGGGTGTCAAGCATTATATATGAAATAAGGATGTTGAGGTGGATGATTAGCTATTACAGGAAGTCGTAGAATTACAAACTAAAGTATTTACTAAAAGTCTGAGGTGGCACTGATGATGAGATGAGGGAAGCTTCCATGCGTTTGGCCTTGTGCAACAAAGACCAATGAGTGCCAGTAAAAAGGAGTGAATTTGGTGCAAGTTTAAGATGCTATGAAGACCAGGAAAATTCCAAAAAATCAAGTGAAGATGGTAAGAAATGATTTGATGACTCATTATCCAATGAGAAATCATGGTTCTAGATGAGGCTGAAAGTAAAATTGGAGTTGTGACTATTTGTGTGTGTGAGTGTGTGTGTGTGAGAGAGAGAGAGAGAGAGAGAGAGAGAGAGATCTTTGTGACAAAGGTTTATGTAATTGCATTTAAAACTTTTTGCACTTCACTTTAATGACAATATTTGAAACGTTTATGGTTTACTGTTAGAGGTATGAACTAATGGTATCGCATCTTTATATATAGACATAAAAGGTGAATGATAATTTTCTTTAACTGCTCTCATCCAATTGAATTATGTGGGTTAGTTAAGCAACATACCATGTGAGTACTTATCAATAAGAAGAATTAATGAAACTAAACTTGTGGTGGAATTTTAAAAATTATGCCCATGAAGATTGTTGCAGTTGCTGTTTTACACCTTGGTGACATTGCCATGAAACTTGCTACAGTAATGTCTTGCTGTGTTCATGAGCTTGACTAAGAAGGTTTGGGACTGCTCAAGTTTAGCTCATTTGACTTGCCACCTTGAAATCCGGGCTTGATTTACTTGACTAATACAGCTTAGCATGAGCTGGTATTTGGTAGCGTAGTTCGTTTATCTATCCTAATATGGTTTTGAATTTCACAGTTTTTTTTTTTGATCAGCAATTTTGAATTTCACAGTTACTGTCTTAGTGATGGGCCAGCATAATAATTGATCAATGAACAAAATTTTAAAAAATGATAACTAAGCTCTGTCTTCTACTGTTTTAATTTGTTTGCTTGAGTTGTGACTGCATATTGATGAAGAACACACCACAAACTTACAAGATAGGATCAGGCAACAAAGACTACATAACTTGGTTTTACTGAGGGCAATAAATACCAGCCACAGAATAGTTTAGAAAAACAGAAATAAGCTTTATATGAATCAAGGAGTTATGGAGAAATTTATCAGCACCATAACAGTATGCATGAGAAGAGGTACCATATTTGGTATCCTTCTTATTAGTAAAGCACTAAGGCGCTTTAGAAAGATTGCTTGTTAGCTAGGCTGTTTTCAATAAGGCTTGTGATTCGTATTTCAACTAGGAGGCTGATGGGGCCTGCCTTGGGCTTGAAAGTAGGTGTTATGCTAAAAATAGTGATAGTGCAGGTCCTTGTCATGTTTAGACTTTGGTTGCTTCCATGATAACAGAAAGGGGAGTGGTGAGGAGGGCCCCTTTACACTTTCTTTTGGAAAACACATTAATGTCAAATTGTCAATAGATGCCCCATCCAGCTTGGCCGGTCTAGGGAAAAGGAAGAAATCATGTTAGATTATTTTCTGTGTCATATCAAATACATAACACAATGCAATTTTATCAAACTTGGTTCCATGTTTTTTCTTTCGAAAAGTCCTTAATTGTTTGTTGCATGCTGTGATGCTTTTTTGTGCTATTAGCTTTTCTTTGGACACTGCTTTTGTTGTTTTTGTCTAACCTGAACAGTAGTAGAGGGTTTTGATTTCCTAATATGTTGATAAACTGGTTTTCTGGATGTTTATTATGTAGGAATGGGCATCTGAGCACTGTTCGGCACCTTTCCGAGCTCCTGAATTGTGGGATTGCCCAAGCCATGCTGATATTGATGAAAGAACTGATATCTGGTCATTAGGATGCACTTTGTTTGCAATAATGTAAGCCTCTACTTTCTGCCTTTTGCAGTAAATCATCTCCTTATATTCTCTCTTTCAATAACCTTTAGATGAACTGCGTCCTTCACCCTTTCCTTCTTTCTATTCTTCTTTGATTTTGGTGATTGATTTTCTCCGCATGCCCTCAGAACAAGTATAGCTTATATTTCCAATTTTCTTTACTCGTAAAATCTGATAGGTTTTAGTATTGGAGTTCTTGCTAGAGTTTGGGTGACAGCAGATAGAGTAGTAGACAAAGTGGCAATGGAAAGGGTTGTGATAAGATATGTGGTGGCCAATAGGTGGTATTGTGATGGATAGAGTGGTGGGGGAGCAAAATATTGCAAGGGATTTGTGGGGTTGTATTTGCTGTAGATGGTGGTGATGGATGTTCTTGCCATTGTGGATGTACAGGTAGTTATGATGAAGGTAATGGGTTGTGGCAGTTGCTCATGGTTAGCTAAGGTAGTGATGGCAGTAGATTCTTTTTCTCAAGTGATGATAGTAGACTTACTGTGAGCTGAGTAGAGGATTGGCTGTATATAGTCTGAGGGAATGATTACAATATGTGAACTTAACCACGATTTGGATGGGGTGATTTGGTGAGAAATGATAAGAAATAAATTCTTTCTCATGTTTGGTTTATAGATTAGGTGAGAAACAAACCTCTTATTTTGCCCATTTCATTTCTCAAACTCTTATTTTGCCCATTTCATTTCTCATCAAAGTGGTGAGATTTGGTTAGAGACAGGTTCATTGGTTATTAAATATTTATATTACTGAAATTGCCTCTTAAGATACCGAGGATGAAAAAGCAATCCCACCCATATCTCACTTGTTTTTCTTTCTTACCTATCCAAACATGATAATTGAGAAAAACACAAATCATTTTATTCTTTTCTCACCAAGATGAGAGATTATAATTTCTTCTTCTATTTTCTCGCCCTATGATCCAAAGGGAATGTTAGAGAGAGAGAGAGAGAGAGAGAGAGCTGTGCAAGATTTGTACGAGTAATGGATAAGATGTTGACAAGGGTATTTGGTTTTTTTTTTTTTTTTTTTTTTGTTCTCTCAACTTATAGGTATGGTGCATCTCCATTTGAGTACGCACTTGGGGAGTCTGGAGGAAGCCTACAATTAGCCATTGTAAATGCACAAGTAAAGTGGCCGCCATCTGGGCCTAAACCTCCATACCCGGAAGCTCTTCACCAGTTTGTGAATTGGATGCTCCAGCCCCAAGCCACTGTCCGACCACGCATTGACGATATCGTCTATCATGTTGACAAGTTGATCTCAAAGTTCTCTCATTAGAAGAAACGTGGACACAATAGAAATGTTGGTGTACCCGTTGACATTTCAGCCAAGCCCGTTGGGTACTGAATGGTAGTTACCAATGCAGTTTCTTCAGTTTATTGTGAAAATGTGGTAAGAAAATCAAATGGCAATTTTTCTTGTTATCGGTGAAACAGATTTTTTTGGAGTACTTTTGTAATTTAAAGTTGTTACTCATCTCCCATCTATTTCTTATATATATATATGGCAAAGTGGCAATAATTTATCAAATCCACCTTAATTAATTTGATTGCTAAATATACTTGTAGTGAATTGTTTTTTTTTTTTGGTCTGTTTTGCATGGATTTTCTAAAGCAAGTATATTTTGAGAGGTCTTGTCACATTCACTTTTTTACATATTTGTGAGTGCTCATGATTGTGGGATGTATATATGGACATGATTGTTGATGTAATCAGGTTTTGGCACTCAGACATAGGATGTGCGCGATGCGGACAGTTTGAAAGTAAAATTATAAATTGAATGATGGATTGATAAATCGGGATTTGGGCGGTTTTGGACGGATTAATGGATTGAAGAATATTCTAATTAATCGTCAAATATTTACATAATATATAACATTAATTTATATAATATTTTTTATATACAACACAAATTAATTTTACATAATATATTTCATCACTCATTTTTACTTTGATATTTCATTATAGGTTAAAAAATATATATGTATTAACTATAGCGGAACGGAGCAGTTTGGAAAGCAGTTTATAAATTTTAAAATTCAATTTGCGGTTAACGGATAGAACAGTACTAATTGATACAGATTGGTGCAATTTTAACGGATTGAGAGATATTTTGCACAACTTTACTTAGACTTCATGTTATGCTCTTAACTCATAGAGAACTTGAGCATGTCGGATTCTCCAATTTTGATAATGTGGATAGTTGATTTTGTAAGATGCTCAGATTATGTTTGGTTTATAAATTTGGAAAAAGAGTTGAAAATGGAAAGAAAAAAATGTGTAAAATATAATTTTATTTTATTTATATTTTATTCATTTTTTCTTTTTTTCTTTTCAGATCATAAAGCAAAGGAAGCGTTATATTCATGAAAAAATAGATTGATTTGATAATTATAATTTTTTTTTCATTTTACCACATTTGTTTTTGAAAAAATAAATGAGTATGTTTTGAAAATAGATCATCAATTATTTTTTGGGAGAGAAACATGAAAATGAAAAAGTTTTGAATATCAGGTCGATTTAATATTTTTTCATGGTTGATATACATGGAAGACTTTATAAAATAAATAGCTCAGATTATCGAAATAAGATCTGTGATGTATCTCATGAGTCTTTCAAATTTTCTCAAATTCAGAGCTCAACTCTTTTTTTATATTCAAATACTAATATTTAACATTAAAAGGTCTTTTTCTTTGACATTCATTTTCCTTACGATTCTAGTAATTTGATGTGATTTACTGCTTTTATTAGGAACCATTAGACAATTGTTTTCTTCGTTTTCTTAAGCCATTTGATAATAATTTATTTATTTATTATTTTTCCTTCTGTTTAATGTTTTCAGAATGTGTTTTATTCACTTTTTATTATTGAGTCCCATGAACATTATGATTTTTAATGTGAGGGATGCTATATACTATAACACCAATATTGAAACTTTACGACATAATGCTGTGCTACTGCATTACCTTGTTAATAATTGGTAACTATATAATATTTAATTATCATTTTTACGGGCAATGAATATAAAAATAATTTAAATAAATGTATGTATATAAATATGTATGTATTTTTAAAATTATAAATATACGAAGGTGCTACTACTTCAAATGTTAATACTTATATTATAATTTTTTTATTGACTCTACGGTTAAACCAATGACCCTTAACTCAGTCCTATTTCCAGTTTCCTCAATGGTTCGGATTTTAAAACATTGGTTAGGAGTGCAAAATGACAGTTTTCTTTTCTTTGTTTCATTTTCTCTTCTTTTCTTTCTCTTGCAGGAGAAAGTTTCCCTGATTGAAGTGAACAGATTGTTATTATGACCTTTGAGGTGTTTGTAGGATTGTATCAAAGGCTTCAATTTGATATCATAATTGGAAAATTACAAGGTTTTGTCTCATGATCAATTTCATCTCGAAAAGGTACAGATCACACTTCAGTATTATTTACAGTTCCACTGGAACTCAGCCCAGAGTTCACATACACCTATAGTTTATAGCATATTATATTTTTAAAATACTGTATATATGAACTTTTTAACCCCTTTCTCTCACATGTCAATAGCTTGTGCATTTTGTAACATGAAATCCACACAAATGTTACAAAATTCTTCCATTTATTTATTATTATTTTTATTCTATTTCTTTTTAATGAATGTAGACTACAAGTATCCGAAGAAATCAATACAAGACATATTTTGATCTCTATCCAGAAGTTGGCTTTAATATCCAAATGGGAAAACCAAAGTTTGGAGTTCCTGTAAGGACTGAAGCTATGGTATGTCCCCAAATGAAAGAAAAATAAATAAATAAAAACTCATATTGGGAAGGCCTAGTTATGAAGATTATGTCTCATATGTCTATGTTGTTTCTTCTTCTTTTTCTTTTTCATTTTTCATTTTTCTGGACGCAGAAAAAGAGAAATCCCTATTGCTAAAGCAATTTGTGTACTGTTCTGATAGGTTGTTTTAATAAGTTGTATTTTTCCTTGCTGTCTTCAGTTTTTTAATTGAAAAAATCATAAAAAAAATTTAAGATTTGATTCTTATAATAAAATAAATATTGAATTTTAATTTGGTCAATTTAAATTTCCATCATTTGAGTTGTTTACAATTTAAATAATTTGTTTATTTTTGTTAAGTAAACCTGACAAAAAAAAATAATATTTTAGTCATTAAACTTCACAACAAAAGATATTTTAGATATTTTATGTATATTTATATGGAAAATTTACCAATAAATCCCATTTCACAAGCTATTAAACTAATTAGTCCCAACTTTATTCTTTTGTTCGGATAAGTCCTATCAGTGGGGAAGTTTGTTTCTTGTTGATCCTATTTTCCATATTTAGTGTAACTGTGTGGACGATTTTACCCATTATTGTTATGTTTCCATATACTGTTGGGGCCATCAATGTGATCCCTCATTTCACCATCTCCCACATTATAACTCTTCCCCCCTTCTGTCTACAAGCCCACCCGCGCTTCTCTCTCTCTAAAATTTCGTTCCCTCCAAACCCTTCCACACAACAAAAAAGAGTAAACACTTAGAAAATTGAATTATAGAGAGAGAAAATCGAGTTGGGTTTTTGATCGGAAACCCTGAGATCTTATCGCCGAGCATACTAGATTTTCCATCGCTGGTTCTGAGTCCTGTGACGCCATTGATTGAAGACCCATTTAACAAGTCTTGTTCGCCATCGATTGGGAGTTCTTCTTCGGAGGAAGAGAAAGCGATTGCAGAGAAGGGGTTTTACTTGCACCCATCGCCCAGAACTACGACGCCGAGAGGATCGAAGCCACCGCAGCTTTTGCCTCTGTTTGTGTGTGTGTGTGTGTGTGTGTGTGTGTGCGCGTGTATCAGTGTGTGTGTGTGTGTTATGCGCTGGGTGTGTCTTAGAGAGAGAAGACACAGCTGGGTTTGGTGTGTGCTGTGTGTGTGTGCGTGTATCAGTGTGTGTGTTATGCGCTGGGTGTGTCTTAGAGAGAGAAGACAGAAGCCATCAGTGTGTGTGTCTGCGTGTTGAAGCCATTAGTGTGTGTGTGTGTATCAGTGTGTGCGTGTAGATGCATATGTGTTGATGTCCCAGTCTGTGTCGTGTATACTGTGTGTGTTGTATGTGCTGTGTGTGTGTATCAGTGTGTGTATGTGTGGGTGTGTGTTGAAGCCATCAGTGTGTGTGTGTGCACGCGCGCGTGTATCAGTGTGTGTGTGTTATGCGCTGGGTGTGTCTTAGAGAGAGAAGAGATAGCTGGGTTTGGTGTGTGTGTGTATGCATGGTGTCTTGTGTCTGCTAGAGAGAGAAGATATGTGTGTGGCTGGGTCTCCATGTGAGAGAGAGAGAGAATGTTGAGAGAGATGAGTGGTGTCTAAACGAGGGTAATTACGTCTCTCAGAATTTTCCAGGACTAAACGGTTTACTAGAATAAAAATGGGACCAATTGGTTCATAAATTACATTTTGGGATTTATTAGTAAATCTCCCTATTTATATTGAGTTGAATGATTAAAATATTATTTTTTTGTCAGTTTCCTCTAACAGAAATAAATAGAAGATTTAAATTGAAAAAAATTTAAAATATCAGGGTTTAACTTTGTTATCCCAGATAGACAATCCAAGAGGGGTGGTAAATTGGGTTATTAAATAAATTTGTCAAATTGAAAATTGACCCAAATAATAAATAGATAAATATGCTCAACAATATAAAATAAAATACTCCAATGAAATAAAATGAGTAAAGGGCAGAGAAATCAAATACAGAGATTTATAGTGGTTTGGCACGCCGGACCTATGTCTACTCCCCAAGGAACTTCTTCGAAAATTTTTTTACTATCAAAATGAATCAATACACCACTAAAGTTTTACCAAACTTGTGGATTTTACACAGGTCTTACTGTTATCTGTTGAGTCTCACTTAATAATAAATGTCTCACCCTTACAAAATTTCTCTCATAAAATAATCAATAAGGATAAGAGGTATTTCAATTCTCTTTTACAATAATTCTCTCATAAAAAGTAAATATAAAAATGTAAGAGCAAAGACAATACTTAGATCTGAACGTGAAAGAACAGAGTAATTTTGGAGCACACAGATTTTTTTCTCTTTAAATTTTTAATTTTTTTTCACATAAAATACTTCTATTTACGGACGCTCCTCAAGATGTCAGCTGAATCCACACGGAAGAAAATCACGCCAGGCAACCGTGAGAAATTGATGATTAAAAGGTCCCTTTCGATGAATAGTAATTTCAATATTTCAAAATATTTGCCGTAAAATCAACGGTACACAGTAACTACATAGTAACTAATCTAATATAATATTTGAATGCGCAATAACTTTTCTATTAAAATATTTGAATAAATAGTAAAATAATATTTAAAACAGATATGAAAATATATGTCTCTTTTATAATTTTTATATATATTGTAGAGATTTTAAATACACAATAATAAAAAATAACCTACCACCCCATGTGGGTATATCAATTTTATCAAAAGAAGACAACCTATCAAATTTGTCAAAAGATGACAACCCACCAATATCACATTTGTCAAAAAGAATATAACCAATCGATATCAAATTTTTCAAAAGATGAATAATAATCAGTCGGATTTTTCAAAACGTGAATAGTAAAATTTTACAAAATATTTTCGTAAAATTAGATATAGCTCAGTAACTTCCATTTAAAAAATATTTAACACAAATACATCATACATCATATATTTTAAATAAATAATATTTTATTTCAAATAATATAAAATATATATATTAAAAAATCATAATTTTTTAAATAATATTTTAGATATCATCAAAATTAAATCATATATGATTAATAAACTTGACAAAATAAAAAACTCATATTTTAATTTATTACAAGGTCGAACTCTGGAATTTTATACATTTAGATTTATTGTAAGGGGTCTTTTACATAGGTGGAATGCAGACACCAGGCATAATCCAATTTTAGAGATATTTATTGTAGTTTTTTTAACTAGGGATTTGATACGTGAGAGTGTTGGCGTTGTAAAGAGGTCATGTTGAGAGATTCAAAATTTTATAATTCTTATTGTGGTCAGTAAATTTGGTTTCACCCTCTTCGTAGATACAAGTATATTGTCAAATTACGTATATATTATATTTTGTTTGTTTACTTTATTTTTTATTTTGTGATTAGAATTATTAGATTTCTATATTAAAAATGTGTGGATCAAAAGCATCATGGGCACCAAATTAAAATCAACAATGCTAGGTAGCTCAAAATTTTGTGGCTCAAAGCACTCAAAACGACGTCATTTTGACAGATTTTGAGTGTAAAACGATGTCATTTTGACAAATTTGAGCCATTTGAACCACAAAATTTTAAGCTACCAAACCTTTTCCAATTAAAATACATCCAAGCCAATCATTTTTATATATCAGCCTATTTAAGAAAAAAATATATTTAAAAGTATTTAAAATTTAACGATGTCTTGTAAGTGTCTTCTGTTTTTTATTTGAAAAAATCATAATTTTTTTTTTAAAGATTTGACTCTTATAATAAATAAATACTGAATTTTAATTTTGTCAATTTAAATTTCAATCATTTGAGTTGTTTACAATCTAAACAATTTGTTTATTTCTGTTAGGTAAAATTGATGAAAAAAATGATATTTTAATCATTAAACTTGACAACAAAAGATGTTTTAGATATTTTATGTATATCTATATTGAGTTGAATGACTAAAATATTATTTTTTTTGTTAGTTTTATCTAATAGAAATAGATAGACGATTTAAATTTAAAAAAATTAAAATATTACGGTTTAACTTTGCTATCGCAGTAGACAATCCAAGAGGAGGTGAATTCAGTTATTAAATAAATTTGCCAAATTAAAAATTAACCCAAATAATAAATAAATAAATATGCTTAACAATATAAAATAAAATAATGAAATAAAATGAGTAAATGGAAGATTATTTATAGTGGTTTGGCACGCCGGACCTATGTCCACTCCCCAAGGAACCTCCTTGAGAATTTCTTCACTATCAAAATGAATCAATACACCACTAAAGCTTCACTAAACTTGTAGAATTTACACAAATCTTACTCTTATCTATTAAGCCTCACTCAATAATAAATGTCTCACCCTTACAAAATTTCTCTCACAAAATAATCAATAAAGATAAGAGGTATTTCAGCCATCTTTTACAATAGTTCTCTCACAAAAAGTAAATATAAAAGTTAGGGGTGGGCGCGGGTCGGTTGCAGCCACGAAACCTCCAATCCGCCATCCGTCCGCCAGATTGGCGGATTGAAGAAAATCAATCTGCATCCGTCCGCCAATCCGGCGGATGTGGATTGAGCGGATTAGCGGTTTGGCAGATGGATGCGAATCGGTTTGGCGATTTAAAATTTTATAAATTTTCAACATAATTCAACTTGTGCACTTCCTTAAAAAAAAAAAGAAAAAAAAGAGAGTATTAAAGTCAATGACTTAAAAAAGTATTACAATCACTGTATGCCTTATCCAAAGAAAGAAAGTTTGAAATTTTAGAATATCACGATCACTGCATGCTTCATCCACATATTATAATCACAGCATGATTCATCCCTATAAAGTATTACAATCTGTGATTCTACAAAATATTTTCATAAAATTAGATATAACCCAGTAACTTCTATTTAAAAAATATTTAACACAAATACATCATACATATATATCATATATTTTAAACAGAGAATATTTTGTTTCAAATAATATAAAATATATATATTAAAAAATCACAATTTTTAAAATAATATTTTAGAAATCATCAAAATTAAACCATATGATTAATGAACTTGACAAAATAAAAAACTCATATTTTAATTTATTACAAGGTGAACTCTGGAATTTTATACATCTAGATTTATTGTAAGGGGTCTTTTACATAAGTGGAATGCAGACACCAGGGCATAATCCAATTTTAAATATATTTATTGTAGTTTTTTTAACTAGGGATTTAATACGTGAGTGTTAGCGTTGTAAAGAGGTCATGTTGAGAGATTCAAAGTTTTATAATTTTAATTGTGGTCAGTAAATTTGGTTTCACCCTCTTCGTAGATACAAGTATATTGTCAAATCACGTATATATTATATTTTGTTTGTTTACTTTGTTTTTTATTTTGTGATTAGAACTATTAGATTTTTGTATTAAAAATGTGTGGATCAAAAGCATCATGGGCACCAAATTAAAATCTACACCATAATATTCATATTCTAACAACTTTTTTTGTAATTTTTTTTTGGTATATAGTATTTGGTTTATTTATTCTAGTTAATTAGTTGTCTTTTGTAGATGAAAATCATAGACAACACTTTTGTTTTGCTCATATATATCTATACTATTATATCTAAAGAAAGGAAGGTTTAGAGATATATATGTAGGGCTTGTGGGAGCTTTTGAAGCTGCAAACTCTGCATTCATGGGTTGGAACTCTGCAGTCCAGTTTGTATTTTATGGCCTTGCAGTCTTGTTAGGATTTGTCATTGTGGCACTCATAATTTTCTCATGTTCAAAGCTCATAAACATGCCCAATATTTCATCAACAAGTCATCATCACATCACAGAGAAGCCGAAACAGGCCATGAATACATCAATGGCTATTCATGTTGAGCCACAGATTGTTGTCATCATGGCTGGAGATGAAAAACCTACTTACCTTGCAACGCCGGTACTACGTCCAATTCAACATAGTGATGAGCAAGTGTAACAATCTTTTTGGATTGCTGTAGTTCTAGGCGCACTGAGAAATTTCACAAACACTCACAACATTGTATGTCGAGCCCACGACAATTGTGGGGTCTATATGCAATTTTGTGAACCGTCGTGCAAATTGGTGTGATATTTCTCTGCATGCCTAGCATTTTTTGTTTGGCTTGTCGTTAGCTAGAGAAATGATGGGTGGAGGGCGTAACCAATTCGATCTCTAGTGTCCAAAATGCAAGAAATTTGAAGTTAGAAGCTTTGGGGTGTCTACACAACAAAGAGCTGCACAAACATGCAAATTTTATATTTCTTGATAAGAAGTTCTACAAGGGGACGCAATATCTAATAGACTATATATTGCTCCTTGAGCTTTCTTCTTCTCATTTTTTATTCCTAATCTACTTTGTTATATCATGATCCTCTCTCTCTCTGGGGTGGAGGTTCATATGGTAAAGGTAAAACTGACTCAATCTCTGTATGTCTGTCTCTCTTGTGTGGTGTTAGGGAAGATGTTCATTTGGTAAACACAAACTCAAAATCACACTTACTAGAATCTATTGCAAAAGGCATAATTCATACATATTATCATGATGAGTAAATACAAATTTATGTATCCATTTTATTGGTATGGGATTGTTAGGACTTATCAAGTTTTGTCTTGGTTAAATATGTATCTTTCTTCAATATGTTAAGGATACTAACACACCTCTATTAATACTGAATTAAGACGATAACTGTGTTTATTAGTCTCTCTCTCCTTCGAATGCTTATCTCGATCATTTTTACACATGGACTGGGCTCCTTTTTATTTCACATGCAAATTGGAGATCCCCATTTCCATTAGAAATATTCTATTGATCTTAATCATTTTTATACACAGAATCCTCTCCATTTGTGCTCATGACTTGAACCTCCACCATGCTAGTGGACTCCTAGTCAACAATGTCAATCCATCTCCATTACTTGGATCCTCTTTTGGTTTATAAATTTGGATAAAAATTTAAAAAAAAAAAAAAGATAAGACAAATATAAATGAAATATAATTAAATTTTTTCTCTATCTTCTTATCATTTTTTTTTCCTTTTAAATTTCTATCTAAATTCATAATCTAAAGAGAACATTAATTAGGCATAAATAGAAAAATAGGATTAACATTGTGAACAAATGCCGCTAATTACCTATCCTTCTAGAAAAGTGAAGGAAGAATTTAACAATTCTACCAATCCGCAAATCTTACCTTTACTTTACCAATCGTTATTATTATATTAATAAAGAATGAGGTTGTTTGGAAGGTGGAATCCACACATAATGGAAAGAGAATAAGTACACCTAAGAGGGTTCGTTTGGTAGTAACCCACCACCAAGTACATATTCACATGCATTTTCTTTCACTTTTGATGCTAAAATATTTTAAGCAACACAAATTTTCATTGAGGATTTTACAAAATTGCCTCCATATTTGTGAATTAAGTAGGCCAATAATGCAAGGTATTACCATTGAGCAATGCTAACTAACATTCTTATTAAAAATATCTATGTTTAAATATTATTTGACGATTAAATATTATTATTTTTTTGACAAGTAATCACGTTTGACCATTTGTATTTTTATGTGTAGAATTATATACTTTATTATTTGAACTTGGTATTTCAGGTTAAACCATCAATAGATAATGTAATATGTGCGGCTCAACTCTCATTTGAAAGTATTGTTTATTATGACCTAATTTAACAACGAGCCTAACTCTGTTCCTTTGGATTTCGAGTTCAAAAAACACCTCAAAAATTAAAGTGTCATGTGTCGTCTTATAAATCTTAGCAGAATTTGAGTGTACTTAAATGGTATATTTATATATACATTTCTAAAAATGATATTCGGGATTCAAACTTATGGAGTTTTATACTAGTTCTACCAATTTAACTTACTTATTCTACTCATGCCAAAAAAAAGTAAAAAAGAAAAAGAAAGATGTGCATACATGCCTCCAACGTATACTTCATTGTCATGACAATAAGAGCTCATGTTCAACCGGGTCCTCTCTCAAGCAGACAAAAGAAAAAATGTCTCCAGACAGTAGTAAAACCATTGTTGTGTGACTTTTCTATGAGACAAGATCAACTACTCTCATAAGAATGAAAGCATTTCACAAATGTATTTTATTTTATTTTTTCCCCAAATTATCATTCCTTCACAATCCTTAATTTAAATCAACAATCTGGACCTGCTCTCAAAGGGCTTTTGGGTTAGTTTTCTTAATTTTTATATTCTTGGCCAAACCATAGAAAATTAGTTTTTAAACCTTGCTACTAATTGAACTAGGGCCCTTGACTAGTGGTTTGTCTCCTATTACTTTGTGGTGTGAGGTTGTTGGCCCAAATCCTATGAAGAGAGTTTAATACCTTTTGTGTTGCCCTCTTTCTCAACTAACAACTAACCACTAACCGCTGCCGAAATCTTCTAAAATTATATATGAAAATAATAAGAAGGGTATTTTTTTTTTCAATTTCTGACTTTTGATTTGTCACCCCAATCTTTGTATCTCATTTATAACTATATGCTTATAGTGAAATTGCAACGACTATGAGCATAACTAAAATTTTAAGATGAATAACATAAATCTTACATTTTAATAAATACATTATGCAATTTTTTTGTTTTGTTTTGTTTTGTTTTAATTTTTTGGTTTTCACACCATACTGATCCTAGTTTAGAGATTACGGATTCCCAACACTTCTTATTACTTTAGTGTCTGTATATGTATATATATTTGTGTGTGTAAATTAACTCAAGACTAAAATATGTAACTCCTAGGGAAGAGAAGCAAAAAACTATTTAAATGGGCTTTTTGGTAAATTAAGCAAAAAGAATCATATCTTCCTAATCATGCAACTTTACAATTCCAGTTCATCCCCTTTCTATAAATAAAGGTCATTATACCCATTTTAATGTATGAGAGATTGAAAAAAAATAAAATAAAATAAATAGATACATAATTGAGCCCTGCAGACACTTCCATGGTTGCCGCCGCTGCCGGAATCTGGCAATGGAACACCCCTCTTCCGTACCTCTACGGTGGTCTTGGGGTGGTGCTAGGAGTGATTGCTTTTTGTTTACTCATCCTTTTATGCTCTTGCAAAAAGACCTCACCACCAATTGAAACACAGGAAATTCCAGTTCAGTCCCTGGCTGACGAGACGACAAAAATCATGGTCGTCATGGCCGGACATGACCACCCTACGTATGTAGCAAAACCTCTCTCTTTCAATAATAAGTAAGACATAAGGGATGAAAAACTGTATTTATGACAATAATAAAATTTGAATTCAGACATTATGCTTATTAAAGGAGCACCTCATTTATTAAGACGATTTTTAATCTTCATCTTTATTTGATGGAAAATGCTAGAGGTCCCGAATTTTCTACCAAATAAATGATCAAATGTCTCATATGGGTATGGGGTCCACAAAATTACGGACCCCACACCCATGTGAGACATTTGGTCATTTGTTTGGTAGAAAATTTGGTATCCCTATCATTACCCTTATTTGATAGACTTCACTATGTAACACCTTGGACAAAATTTGGACATTTAGCACAAATTCATGAATATTTTTTTGTTGATATGTTATGTATCTATGATTAATTTGTTATAGGCCATTAGATTTGATCTCTTTTGTTGTAAAAGTTTTTTCTTTTTGGTTTTAACTTTGCCATAATAAATGGGGGTTAGATTCATGACAAAAAATGATTTTAGAAAATTTCTATTATAATTTATTGAAAAAAATTACAAATATAAAAAATATTACATCAATAATTACTTTCCAATTGATCTTGATATAATATTTTTATATATGTAATGACTCTATTTTTTAGATTCATATTAAAGTTAAGAAATGACAAAGTTGAGGTTACATCAAAGATAGTAAAACAGAGAGCTAATCTCTCTCAAATCTAAGAGCATCTTCAACGCTAATTAGCATTTTATCTATTTAAACATTACTATAAAATATATATTTTATTTTTTCTATCAACTGTTATATATTTTTACTCTAACCATACTCTTTGTTTTAGTTATTCATCCAAATATTATTAACTTTATAGAATGTTACATCAACAACAAAGATGGCGAGAAATGATCTTAATAATTAAATATATTTTGCCTAACCTTTGAAGATTAGTTATATGTAGCTAGTGAATGTGAGTTGAGCTAAAATGTCTAATCACATGCCTAATATATTGGAATTGAAAAAAAATGAGTCATATTAAATATTTTGACTAACAAACATTATGCCTAATAGGTTGGAGATACTCTAATATCAGTCATATCAGCTTTAAGAAGAGCAAAAAGAAAAGGAAAGAAAAGGAAAGAAACCTAATCGAAATAATAATAGCAATTTTTTGTCTAAGAATGCCAATACCACAATTAGCACACAAGATTTATATGGAAGTGACTACCGTGAATATCCTGAAAAGTTGAAATACCCCATTGATGGGTATGGGTTTTATTTTTTTTTGAAGGCTTTATTCATGGAGATTAATCAATAAATTATACATTTTGAATTTATAAATTATATAGTTCTATATATATATATATATATATATATTGTAATTTATTTAGTCATTTTGGATGCGTAATGACTTATTTGCTAGCTATAATGAAGTGTCACATTTGAAAAAAATGTACTAAGAAATTTTTTAATGTCACATCATATCCGCTACATTGGAATGTCCCAAAATGAGTTTTTAATTCTTTTGGAGTGTTAGAATACACTCGTCACGTTGTCACATTTAGAAAAAGTACATTAATGAGTTTTTAGTTTTTTTGGAGTATCACATGTAGTTTTTTTAGAGTGTTATATCATACCGGCCACGTTGAAGTGTCACATGTTACATTTGAAAAAAATACACTAAAGAATTTTTAGTTTTTTTTGAGTATTACACCATACCTGCCATATCGTCACATTTGAAAAAAGTACACTAAGGGGTTTTTAATTATCACAACATATCCGTCACGTGTCACATTTAGAAAAAGTACACTACAGAGTTTTTAGTTTTTCTTGGAGTGTCATATATGCCACACATCGTTACATTTGAAAAAAATACATTAAGGAATTCTTAGTTGTTACATCATATCCATCACGTCGTCACATTTAAGAAAAGTACGCTAAGGAGTTTTTAGTTTTTTTAAGTGTCACATCATACCTGTCACGTTGGAGTGTCACATGTTACATTTGAGAAAAATACACTAAAGAATTTTTAGATTTTTTTAGAGTGTCACATGTCACATTTAGAAAAAGTATATTAAGAAATTTTAAATTTTTTTTGAGTGTCACATTATACCCGCTACGTTAGAGTGTCACATCATACCTGTCACATTAATAAAAATGTATAGTCGTTCACCAAAATACTATCAAAATCGAAAATAGGATCACACGAAAAAAAACTCTCCACTAATAGGATTTAACAAACTTGAGACTAATTGGAGTATTTTTTTTTTTGTGAGATATAATTTATTAGTAAATATCCTTGGTTCATACTTACTATTTTTTCATTAAAATTATTCAAAAAAATAAGCTCAATTCAATTCCATGAATCCAAATGCTTTTTTCTTCCTATCTAAAAAAATGTACCTTTTCTTTTAAGAGTCTTGCTATAAGTAAAGGACAAAAAATTTGAATAATACAAGTCGCTTTCTACTAAATTCAATATACTTTAATAGAAATTAATATATATTTTAATATTTTTATATACTTTTAAAAGAATTTTTATACGCTTCCCAACATTAAATAATGTCTATAAAATACTCGGAGAAGAGGAATTGCTATGCCTAATGAACAATAGTAACTGCTGTGCCCTTTATGGGAGGTCATCCCGAGTGTTTTTCGATAATCTGAACCGTTCATAGTCCTGATGGCTTCAATATGAAATTCATCAAAAAATGTTGGGCCTTCATAAAAGCAGATCTTTGTCTCTTTTTCAATGAATTCCATCTTAACAGCAGGATCAAGAAAGGCCTGAATTCTACCTTCTTAACCCTGATTCCAAAAATTCCAAACCCATCTTCTTTATCTGATTACAGACCCATCAGTTTGTTAGGCTGTATTTATAAGGTTCTAGCCAAGGTCTTATCAAGTAGATTGAAATCTGTTTTGCCAAAACTGATAGATGAAACTCAATCAGCTTTTGTAAAAGGGAGGCAAATATTGGATGGTATTCTCATTGCCAATGAAGTTGTTGATTTGTGGAAGCGCAATTCTTTAGGAGGGCTGCTTCTCAAATTGGATTTTCAGAAGGCTTTTGATAGTGTCAATTGGAACTTTCTTTTTCATATTCTTCAAAATTTCGGTTTTGGTGAAAAGTGGATCTCTTGGGTTAAGGAATGTGTTTCTTCCCCTCATATTTCTGTATTGGTGAATGGATCCCCTTCTCAAGAATTTCCTCCTCAGAGAGGCTTAAGGCAAGGTGACCATCTCTCCCCCTTTCTCTTTAATCTTGTGGTTGAACGGCTAAATATTCTCATCCAAAGAGCCAAAAATCTCAATCTTATCAAGGGAGTGGATATCGGTGGCTCGGGGTTGAACCTTTCACATCTGCAATTCGCAGATGACACTCTTATGTTCTGCAATCCAGATTGGGATGAGATAATAAATCTGAAAAGAATTCTCAGTTGCTTCGAGTTAATTTCCGGACTGAAGATTAATTACCAAAAGTCTGTAATTTGTGGAGTTGGGGTTAACAGGGACTTCACCTCTCAAGTAGTCGAATTCTTCAACTGCAGGGTGAGTTCGCTACCAATCAATTATCTTGGAATGCCTCTAGGGGCCAACCCAAAAAGAGTGTCTACTTGGGAGCCTATCATAAACAAAGTGAAGAAAAGAATAGTCTCGTGGAAGAAGAGGTATCTTTCTCTTGGAGGGCGAATCACTTTGATTAAATCTGTACTTTCTTCACTTCCAATCTATTATATGTCCCTTTTCAAAATTCCTACCCAAGTGGCAAATTTAATTGAAAAATATCAGAGATCCTTTTTATGGGGGGATAGTGATGTCAAAAGGAAATTGCATCTTCTCAACTGGGAGGCATGCTCTGTTAGCAAACACTTTAGAGGTTTGGGCTTCAGAAAGACTAAGGAAGGCAATGATACTCTCCTATGCAAATGGTGGTGGAGATTCGCCACCGAAAAAAGTTCCTTGTGGAGGAAAGTTCTTTGTGCCAAAAACAATGTGAATGAAGATTGTTGGTTACCAAATGGTTCAAGCTTCAGATTTTCATCTGCAATGTGGAAAAGTATCTCAACTATGGAAAGGTATGGATCTAGAGCAATTGCATTTTTTTTTGGAAAATATTCAGTTCAAGCTAGGGGATGGTAAAAGAATTAAATTTTGGTTGGATGCATGGGTCTCATGTACTCCTTTGTCCAACCTTTATCCTAGACTTTTCTCTCTAGCTACAAGCAAAGATTCATTCGTCCACCAGTATTTGTATCAGGCTGCAGATAATCAAACTCATTGGAATATCTCATATAGGAGAACACTGAGAGCTTGGGAAGATGAGTTGCATCTTGAGCTGATTAGTAGATTGCCACAACCTCTCAGCATTAATAACAATTGTGTGGATCATCTGTTATGGACTCCTTTCCCATCAGGCTCCTTTACAGTTAAATCTCTTTATGAGATTTTTGAAAATTCTCTTCGTTTAACCGCTTTTCCGATTATGAAGATGTGGAAATCAGCAGCCCCTCCCAAAATTAAAGCTTTTGGTTGGCTTGTTTGGTGGAATCGAATCGCCTCTTCGGATCTCCTTGCTCGCAGGCTCATTATCCCCGCAATCAATCACTGTGCATTCTGTGGTATTGATAACGAATCTGCTTTGCATTGTAATTTCACTTGGAAGGTTTGGGCTGAAATTTTTTGTTGGTGGGGCTCCCAATGGGTCTCCCCTAGTTCCTTACAAGACTTGCTTTTATGGTGGTATGGTCAAAAGTACAAAAACCTGGGTAAACTCATCTGGGAAGTAATTCCATTGGCTGTGGTTTGGAGTTTATGGATTGCAAGAAACAACATGGTTTTTAACTCTAAAGTTCCTGTTTGGGGAAATATTGTGGATAGTATCAAGATCAAAGTGGCCACATGGGTGAAGTTTTCTAGTCATTTGCCTAATTACACAATCCATGATTTCATGCACTGTTTGGATGGATTGAAGGGCCATAAATTGTAGTTTCCAACAGGATGTAGTCCTCTGTTGTTTTATTTTTTCATTTCCAGATTTGGTTGAGGTCTCATCAACCTTTGTATCGGCCTTGGCTTGCATATGATTGGGCTCAATTATAGGTGCCAACCTAGTTGGGATGTATTTTTGAGCTATGATGCAATTCAGTCAAGTCTTTCTTTTCTATCTATTTATCAATAATATTCTTTCTTTGCTGATAAAAAAAATAAAAAATATTGTAGGGTTCATCAAGTAGATCATTCATATAAAAAATCAAATTGATTGAATATCTGTAGCTTTATAAGCAAAACACATTTGTTTTTATAAAAATTAACGGTTAACATAATTTTATAAATTTTTAAAAACAATTAGAACCTAATAATGGGATTATGAATATCTGATTTATTTGATTTTTTACATAAATAATATGTTTGATGAATCTTACAATATGAACAATTCAGATCATCAAAAAATACTCGAGACAACCTCTCACAAACGACACAACAGTTACTACTGTGCCTAAGACACAACATACCCTTCTCCTAAAATACATATTAGCATTTGCCTTCTTCTAAAGTACATTATAAAAGTAAACAAAAGAAATGGAGGGAAGAAAATGACAATAGATAAATCATTTTATTAATTGGGAGAAATAAATACTTTAATTAATTTCCATAGAGGTGGCAATACGATGATGGTGACGTGGTAGCAATAACCACAATAGGATGAGAGTGGTACACCTTAAATGTGATATAAGCGGTAAAAATTTTGCCATGCAACATTCAACATTAGCCATTAAATAAGAAATTTGTATTTTTAATTTTAGACTATTTTCCCATTAAAAAAAGAAAATTAGTGTATTATTAAGAACTTAAATTTCTAAGTAGTATATGTTTTTATACAAAAAAATAAAAATAAAAATGAAGTGATATGCGATTTGAAACGTGGTTTTCAAATAACTTAAAATTTTAAATTATTTTATTTTATTTTTTACAATATGTAGGAGGGAAATTATTTTATTTTTAAGCAATATGCGATTTGTTATGCGATTTTAATTTTTACCCATATATCAATCTCGATAGAGGAGTACCTTCAACCATTGGTGTTAAATTTGCTTTTTATTAAAATATATTTAATTTTAAGTAGGGAATTGAATTATCAAATTATAAACTGAAAGAATGCGGAAAAATGAAGGGGAAATTACATTCTAGTGGGAGATTTTTTTTTTTAGCATAAACGTAGAGGGATACAAGTTACACTTACACATTCACAACCTTTTACTTGCACTTCATCACAAAACTACTTACATTTTACATATTTTTGTAATTTATTTTTATTTTTATTTTTACTTTTATTATCTATCCCACTACTTTGAAATTTCCCAAAACAGTGAACTATTAGTGTTCAACGTGGTGAGGGTGTTGTGCCTTAATAGCATATATGGAAGAGTTGTAAAGCTAATTAACCTTTCCTTGTTATTGTAGCCAAGGGGTAAGGGTGTAATACAAACTGAAAAAATTGATCAAATTGATTGAATCACATCAAATCGGTTATATTTGATCTATTTTTTTAGTAAGAATCGGTTTGTGTGATTTTTAAATTTGATTTTTTTTTATTTTCGGTTTGGTATTGGTTCAGACACCTTGTGTACTAAGCTAAACCGAAACCGACCGTTTCAACATATATTATATTTATAATATATATAATCTAATAATATAATGATATTTATAAGTATAAGAAATTATAGCATTGTTTGGCAAGTTGGTTTGTGGCTAAAATAGTCACAAAAGACAAAATATGTTATTTTAGCCACAACAAACAAAATATCACATTTAACCCATAATCATTACACTCTTTTCTTACAAAAAAAGTCAAAAAACCTTTCCCAAACCAACCTACTTCCCAAACAGAGGCTAATTAATTAGCATTATCATCTTTATAAACTAAGTTTGTAAACTGTTATTATATATAATCTTAACTCTCATTATTCTTGAAATATTAGTATTTTTTAACCTTTTTTTTGCATTTTTTTTGGGGGTTAATCTAGGAATTGAAAAGTATTTATTAAATGGATGGATTGGATATGTTTAAAATGATGGACAAATAACTAATTTAATATTTTTATATAGATTAGTGATTATATTTAAAAGTGGTTCAAGTTTGAACGATCTTAGACCGATTAAACCGCACCACACCGAACTGTTTCAATCGGTTGGGTTCGATGCGGTTTGATGAGAGAAGTGGTCTGTATCGATGTTCAAAATAATAAAACCGATATTATTGGTTCCGTAACATTTTTTTATCTAAATACCGATCGTACTGAACTGATTACATCTCTACCAAGGGGTATGACAACTTGATAAGGTCTTGAGATATAAATTTTGATGTCCTAAGTTCAACTTTATTCAGAACCAATCACTTGGACAGCATCACATACGATTAGTAGGATGAATCTTCCAAACCTGGGTAAAATGCATCCAATGTCAAATATCAGAAATGTGAGTTCAAATCCTGATCAATGTGCGAATTTGCGACTTCCCTAAGGCACCAGTGGTCATTTCTCTATGGTTAGCCCATTTCCCTTTATTATGTATATATAGGAATTAATAAATTTTATAATTTTTCATTCAATAGTGTGAAATAAAATTTGAAGTCAAAATCAATTATAATAATATAATAAATATTACATTAATAAATAAATAAAATTTATTAATTTACATTCCCACCAATATTTCAAAAAAAGTTGTTACTATTCCAAGAAATTTAGTAGAATTAACCATCCAACAACGCATGCGTAGAAAGAGAGAATGCACCCAATTACTTCGATTACTTTACACGAGGGTATTTCTGCCCCCTTTGGTATAAAAATCAAAAAGCATAACGTGAAAGGGGGAGGAAAATGTTACATAAATATTGATAAATTAAAATTTAAACTTTAAATTATTTTTTCTTTGACATGAGAAGCGGAATCCAAATATTAAGAGTCATCATTCGTTTAAAAGTTCATTGCCTCGTTAGTTTGCCGAACTTTTATTTGGCTCAAACATATATCTTAAGTTGGTTTGAATAAGATTTGAGTTAAATTTAAGTGTTAAAACTCGATCTATCTTATTAACTTGTGAGAGATGACCCATTAGCTTAGTTGCGAGTCAATAAGAAAATAAAATTTAAAAAAAAAAAAAAAAAAAAAAAACAGAAGCCCTAAATATTAATCTTTTAGGCTTAGATTGCGGGTTGCCCCGCTAGCCCATTGGGCTGACTTAAGCCTAAAGTTGGCTTTAGGCCAGCATGTAAAAAGGACCCCATTGAGTTTAGCTTATGGACGTGCTTAGATATTACTTTTTAAACACACTATCCACATATTATCAATGTATGGGGTTCAGTGTCTATGTGACAGAAAAAATAGACTATCTACACCATATTTGCACCTTAATGTGTAAATTTTTAGATGTTCCTAATATTGTTGTTCTTATAATTTATTTTTATTAATTGATGTATTGTGTGATAATGATATTTTAAAAATTAAAATATAATTCATTTGTGCCATATCAATAATTTGAAATGTTTTTTTTTTTTGGGGTAAGATTTATTACTATTTGTATAGAAGATTCAACGACAATATGTATCATGTTTTATTTGACCATTAACATTTACTACTAGTGTTCAAATCTAAAACCATTACTACTAGTAGTGTAGTAGTAGCAGCCCATTGTAACTCAGACCATTTGATCTTGTGAAACACATTTAATACGACCCACAAAAGTGAAATTGGTGTATCAGATCTTTCCAGATTTGAGGGCTTTTTGTCCCATTGTGAAAGATGATTTTTTTTTTTTTTTTTCAAAAAGCACATCTTCATCTCCGTCACACATGGACCCCAAAGACAACAGTAACTCAAAAATGTGAGTCCCTTTTGCTCCCTTAAGCCCCAATCAAGGTGGGTCCCATCAAAAGAGTCAAGAATATAAATAATTTTCTGTTTCAAAATTATTATCCTATTACACTCATATGATATGATATGATGAAAATATTAAAATACATGAGACGTGTTTGAATGTGTATTGAAGATAGGGACAGAGAGATTTCAAAATAAAATTTAAAAAATTTGTGAAATTAGTAGACCATTGGATTGTTTATTTGGTCCAATTTTGAAAATGGGTGAACGATTCAAATTGATTTAGTTCCCAATTATAAGACTTTGGTGACTGTTTTAAACCGAATTGAATCATGATATATTTATTTTTTACTAATAATTTGCACACTAATCTTGACTATGAAATTAATAAGTTCTAAGTAACTTAACTAAACTAATTATTGTTAGTCTATTTACTTTTATAAAATATATATTATATTTTTTGTTATATAAATTTTTTAGAACCATAAAGTTGAACTGAATCAAATTGATTTTTATGGTTTGATTATCTGATTATATAGGTTTAACAGTTCAGTTATTGTTCTAATTTTTCTAGAATTGTAGAGACCAGTTCAACTCTTGATCTACTCTTAAAACGAACCAATTTGATCTATGAGCATCCCTAACTTCTCAAGTTGAAACAAACAAAAGATATGAAGTTAGGTAGATGATCTTTTGTTCTCAATTCCTCTGTTATCTTATTTTGAAATATTCTACCTCGAGATTTCTATATTTCAAGATTTTCACATAATAAACTATTACGTTGGGCTCCCCTCCAGTCCAAGTACTGTTGGGCTTGTGGAGGCCCACTACGGGTCCCATTTCGGTAATTTGAACCGTTCAATATGTAGAACTCGTCAAGTACTATATGCCTGTAAAAAATTACATTGATCGGATATCAATAGCTATCTCATCGGATCAGATTTCTGTCAACTGTTTATTTTTTCATCGTCCATTTTTTTTTTACAAAATTGATTTGATCACGTAGCTATCGATATCCGATCAACGTGATTTTTTTACAGGCACATAGTACTCGACGAATTCTATATATTTAAGGGTTCTACAATGGTTCAAATTATTAAAACGGAACTTGTGATGGACCCCTTACAGGCCCAATAGTACATTTCAGTCTGATCACGGACTAGAGAGAAGCCAACCCCTAAACTATTTTAAGACGAGGGGGATTGATTTGGAAACAAACATCATTGGCCCTAAAATTACTCCATGATTCATATCTAACTAGCCAATCATTTTACTACCAAAAATAGCCGAGTTTTGAAAGTTTGCCATCATAAACAATTATAAATACAAGAACTTCAAATTTGTTTGCAAAGCAAAAGTTGAAGTCTAGAACTCCAAACAGAAAGTTAAAACTCAAAATATATGATGAAATATTGAAGCACTAAGGGGGAGGGCAAAAAAAAAAAGAAAAAGAAAAAAGAAGGTACAGTTGCATTGAAGAGAGCTGTTAAAAAGGTCCTTTCAACACTAGGCATGCTTTGGAGGTAACATGTCCATCAGCATGTTTTTGTTTTTTCACTATATCAGTACCTCTGCTGCGAAGAAATGGCCTCACATTAAATGACAAATCTAGTATTTCAAGGGAAAAAAATATCAAACCTAGAATAAAGGTATGGATATGGTCTTTATGGTGGTGGTGGAAAAGTGAAGCAGGAATTATGTTTACCAACTACATATTAAAGTTCCATGAGTAAATAATGTGCAAAGAAGAACAAGAAATTGGAGTTGAAAAAAATAAAAAAATAAAAAAACATAAAGGAAAACAACTGTATTCTTCCCCCCCAATAACTCAAAAGACATCAAATCTGCTTTGTGAGGAGACAGATTACAGGAAATAGGTGAAGGACTAGAGCTGAACTGAATCCTCAGTATTATCTTCGAATGTAATTATTGTTATTTTTTTTATGATAGAAAACACCAACCAGTCCATCCTGTCATTCAGTACAAGTGTAATCTCCTTGTTCAAATCGTAACAATATTAGTCGGTTTTGGCCTATATATGTGAGTTCGCATCCCTTTCTACTAACATGTTTTAAAACTGTGAAAATCTATCCCCCAAACAGACAATATTGTTACAGTTAGAGAAAAAAGATGTTATGATTTGATATTGAAACGGGACCTACTTTTAGCTGTGGACCATATGTTGTGGGAGCCACCTCTAGGATCTGTAAGTCCTCTTGAATCCTGTAAGTGGGAGTAAAGTGTTGTACAAAGCTAAGTGCTACAGCATCTGCTATACAAGAACGTGTGGTTTTGAGGAGGGATTTATTTGACATTTCATCGCACATTGGTTTTGTAGGAAAGGTTCTTGGGCTATATATGTGAATTCACATCCCTTCCTATTATCAACGAGTTTTGAAGTGCTGACGGCTAAGTCCAACGTAAACAATATTGTTACATTTGGGGATGGGGTGATACAACAAGGCCTTATGAATAAACTCCGAATAAGCACAAATCATGGTTAAGTTAAACAGGAGTGTTTTGCACCTTGGAGAGTCAAATATACAAAACCAAGGAGTTACCTCATATTTTAGTTTTCTTAACCTGAAAATTCGAACTCCAGTTGGCTCCATTATGTATCTGGGATTTTTTTTAAACATTTTTTAATCTATTTGTTTATTTGACAAGACAGAGAATTAATGTTGTGAAAGATAAATGAGGATAGATGAAGATGTCCTTTTCTAACCCATTTAAGAACCAGGTCATATATTCTCAGTATCATATTGACTCTGCCTCCTATCTTTATTTTGCATTGAAAGCTGCTCTTTCTTATTAATGACAAAATTGCAGACTAGTAGTAAAGATTGATTGTATTGTATCTTCTTCACCTGTGCAACCCTATGTGAACCCCAAGTATGTGACCCAATCCTGTCCTTTCAAATTCAAGGAACTTGGGGGGTTTTTATGCCTTTTGTTTAAGTCAGCCTGTATCTTTCTTTGACAGCTTCAAGCTGTCTTCTGCTTCTGATGGTGAAGTCAGAGAGAGAGAGAGAGAGAGAGAGAGATTAATGGCTAGCTTTTAATCCAGCTGTTAATCATAAATCAATTAAAATTTGTGGGTTTTGTGTAGCTTTCCACACTATAAAATGGGTATATCTCTGTTCCTTTGTTTGAAGAGCTGTTTAAGTCAGAGACACATATAAAAAAATAGAAAAAAAGAGAGACCTATATCAAGTTCTCTCTGTCTCTTCTGGTTTATTCTTCTCATCTTCTTCATCTAAAGCCTATACTATGGAGTCTTCCCATAACTGTGGAGATGCAGAAGAATGTCACAGCAGTGAATCTGGATGGACAATGTATATCGGATCCCCCATAAACACTGATGATGATGATGATGACAGTCGTGATGATGAAGATGATAATGTTGGTGATTATAAGGAGCATAATAGTGTTAAGCATGAAGATGAGAGTGATGATTCTATGGCTTCTGATGCTTCTTCGGGGCCAAGTCATCGAGGGCATTCATGGGGGAATGGGAAGGAGCATCAAGTGGAGAAGAAAGGGAAGAAGCCAGTGGAGAAGAGTGGGAATGCAAGAAGGAAGCAAGAGAAGGAAAAGTCTGTGTTTGATGCAAAAGGAGCTAATGTTGGTACTCAAAGTGGTGGTGATAAGGTGAGGAAAAACAGTTGGTTTGGGAAGAGAAAGTAAGTCCTTATTTTCTTGTTTTTGTTGGGTTGTTTTGCATGTGAGCTGAGCTGAAGATGGATGTGTGGAGATGAGAAGATCAGACATGTTTTTGACTATGTGATGTTTTTTGTTTTTGTTTTTTTTTTGAATGTAATAGTTGGATCAAGAAACATTGCAGTTGTTAGCTTTCAAGTGTATGTGTCTATCAAATTATGAATAGCTAAGCTAAGCTTGTCTTTTGAAAATGTCCCCTATACAAATTTAGATGTATTCCCTAATTTTCAATCAACATTGCTGCAATCACCGAATTTTTCGCTCACTGAAATCACCGATGTGAGAAAAATATATTTGCATCTATATATGTGAATATTTACATTTACAAATGCGAACATTTTCTCTCATATCAACGATTTTGGTAATCGAAAATTTCAATGTTTATATGCTTTTCCATTTCCAGTAGTTGTGCATGCACACTGGTAGAGGTAAAGCGCACACACATATATGTTTGTGGTAACAAATTTATGTATGTCACAGCATAGCCTTGAAAAGAGTATGAGCAACTTGAATCCAGTTATGAATAATAGAGATATATGCTTCAACTATTTGGGTTGGATACATAGGCAACATCTTGCTTTAGGGAAAAAGTCATGAAGCAAAGTGTGAACAGTAACATGAAAGAACAATCTCATTATATACCAACATGTTGTCCCTCGCAGTAGCAGATCACACTGAATATATAGAGCAACAACAACAGTTCTAAACACAAGTTCCTAATGATGCAGAAAAGTGGCTCAAAAACTCCTTGTTTGGCATTGTTTTTGTTTTTTGTCTTATCTGTTTTCCAAAAATTGTTTTTTGAAAACAAAACTTTTTTTAGGAATCACAAAAATTGTTTTCAAACATTATATTATATTTTTGTTTTTGAAAGCACAAAACAGAAAACCAAAAAAATGATATTAGACTTGTAACTTATTCTTAGGCTATTAAGATTCAAGACCAGCACAAGATCCTCTGTATTTAAATTCTTTTTCCCTATGTTTTAAAAACACTCTCTTATAGAATTATATTTTGAGATTCTTATGATCTAATGATTACAAGTATCTTGAAATAAGGGATCAAAAATTTGAAGACTAAATTTTTGCCATCAAGACCATGATATACCTTAACGCTGTGTTTGGTTGGGGGATTTGGAAAGGGAAATGGAAATGAAAGGAAAAGGAGAAAGAATTAATAGAATTTCAAATCCCAACTATGTTTGGTTGTGTTGGTTATAAAATAGAATTGATGTCCTAAAAGGTCTCCTATTTCTTTTTTTATTTCTCACCCCCTTTCTTTTCTCATATATTTTTTATTATAACCAAACATAAATAGGATTACATTTCTCATTCCTTTTCCAAATCCCACCCCAAAAACCCCAACCAAACACAGCATAAGTGAGTGTCAATTCTAATATACTAATGTTGTGTTTGGTTGAAGGATTTGAGGAGGGATTTAGAAAGGGAAAGGAAAAAGGTGTGTGAAACTAGGTGAAATGTAGGTATATTTTATTCATATTTCACCAAACTTTTTCCTTTCCCTTTCCAAATCCCTCTTCAAATCCTCCAACCAAACACAACGTAAGGGTTAATTATATTTTTCACTTTCTAACTTATACTTAAATTTTACTTTGGTCTCTTATTTTTTAATTATAATAATTATATTTTTAGATTTCAACCTGAATTTAAATATAGTCCTTGTCACACATCGTTTAAAATTTTAATAAAAGTTTAAAACATAAAAAATAAATATAGAATTTGAGTGAAAGGTTAAAAGATAAGAAAGTATAATTTTTCTTATAAATTTCCTCTTTTCTTTTCAAATCATGCAACCTTAATGCTCTTGGAGCCTCCTCATGCCGACATTATTTTTTTTTTAGCGATAAGTAATGGGAGGATAATATTAAAATAAAGTTTGAAATTGAAGAATTTAAATTTTTATAATTAGAATATGAGGATCAAAGTAAAATTGAAATAAAAAATAGAAGGCAAAAAATGTAATTTTTTTTTTATTTTTTTTATTTTTTGCTTTTTGAAAATTGAATAACAAGAATTTGTTTGATATATTGTTTTTGTCTTTATAAAAATGAACTCAATTATAAAAATTTTTAAAATAAAAAGTATTTTATTTTATTTCAAAATAAAATTCCGCGCTCTTTCTTGTTTCTTCCACCACCACCTCCAGCCACCGGTGACCTCCAAATTCCAACGACACTTATTAATTCCAATGGCCACTACTTATAGCAACTCATTAAATATATTTACTTATTTATGTTTCAATTTATTTTTTAAAATATTTGTTTAAATCAGACAGGTATTTTGTAAAACAATATTTTCTATTTTATGTGAACAAAAAATAAAAAATCCACAGCCGCACGCTCAATACAGTTCATTTACTATTGTCGTGTCATTGGATTGGATCTTTGTAGAAGCCAACGCAGACAATATTAAATCCAAAGATTGCTTTTATCTGGAGCCCAACTAGGTTGAATCACAAAACAAAATTAATGCACAAACACAAGAAAACTCCCCTCCAAAATGATATGATAGTGATTTTTTATTTTTAAAAAAAAGTAAATTATACTGATTTTTTTTTTTTTTTTTGGAAATTTGAAAAAATATTATAAGTCCTGCAATTTTATTATAATTACATTGACTTATCTTTCAATATAAACAAATTGGATTGAAATTAATGTAAATGATGTGAAGACATAAGAATAAATAAAGAAAATTATCTATTTAAGTATAAAAGAGAAGATAATATCAATTTTTTTTAAAAAAAAATTATATGACTAACGAATTATCAGTAGGGATTAAGTGCTATATAAATTAAAACTTTAAGAAAATCTAATGTAATTATATAAAATTTGTGGGATTTGCTACGTGTTATGCAAACCTCAAGGGAAATAAGTTTAATTTACTCAATAAAAAAAGTGCAAACAATAGAGCCATTTGTTAGAAATTATGTTCAAAATTATGTTTGTGTAGTCATCACACAATGATTTCACAGAAACTTGGCCAATTTGTATTTGGAAACAATATTAGGGTAATTACATTCCCTTAAACTTTTTCCAAATTCCACTTTAGTTCATCCTCTTCTAATTACAATAATTAAATCATTAGACTTTAATTCGTGTTTCAATTTAATTCTCCATCATCCCACTGTTTGAAATTTGAAACATAAGAGGGAAAAAACGTGAAATTTGAGCATTCTGTAAAAAAATAATAAACAAAAAGTAAGCGAAAGTTGAAAGGCAAGCAATGTTTGTCATACAAATATTTTTCTTTAAGGTGATTCTATTTATACACTATCAATACTCTCAGTGCACACCATTTTCTCAATACACACCACACATATTTTCAATTGTTTGATTTCTTCTCACGACACCATCAATTTTCTAAAATTCCTAAATTACCCTCATCTTCTCCAACTCTTCAACTCTCTATCCCAAACCCTAACCCTAACCTTTGCCCACCGCCTGCGTTACCCCCCTCCCTTCCTCACCTTCTCATCGCAGCACTCTCCTTACCCAGATTTTGACCCACGGCTGTTGCCATCATCTCTGGCCATCCATCTTCACTGCCATCATCTACTACACATCGTTGTTGTATCGTCACCCCCTTCTCCCTTTCTCTTCATCCTTTTTTTCTTTTTCTTCTCTCAAAATCATAACCCTAGATCTAGATCTAGATCTACCACCGCCACAAACCCTAACCTCTCTATTCTTTCATCTTCTTCTTCTTTCCATTTCTTTATCTCTCTCTCTTTTTCTTCGTGGCTCTCTGTTTCTCTTTTTCATCATTTGCAACTCGCACCGGATTGCGATCAATATCGCGATGGATTGCAACGGCAGGGTTGGGGGTTGGTGGTTGTTCATGGATCACGATGGCAAGGGAGAGCTGGTGAGGGAGAAAGAGTGAGGGATTGAGGGTGTGACGTGAGTTGGTTTTGATAATGGCTGTTGATGGCGATAAAGGCAGAGGCTGGCAGTGGTGAGGGAAGAGGTGTCACGACCCAAACCCGCCCCTATGGATTTAGCACCGTAACCGGCCATTAATCCGTGGATTACCAAAGGCCTCTGAACAGATTAACAAATAATAAGGGGCTGCGAAAGCAATAATACAAAATAGACAAGGTCTAATGAGCTGTGATAACGTACATGGGACAGAACATTTTAAAACTTACTTATAGATATATAAGCATGCCAGTCCGGATACACAATATTTACAAAATATTTACAGAAGTGAACTTCCCAAGGTCTGACTTTACAAATAGTTACAGAGACTAGCATGAAAATAAAAACAGCCTTGGCGTTAGTCTTCGGTCGGAACCTCCTCGGGAGGCACAACGGTTGGCTGATAAAAACAGTACAAGAGAGCGTCAACTCTGGCCCTGGTCATGTGCCGGCTCACCTACATACATAATATAAACTGTGAGCGAAAGCCCAGTGAATAATAACAGAGTAAAGGGGTTATATGAATGATGTCCAGCACAAGTTAGAGTCCATCATTTAAATCAGAGCATAATCAGACTTCAAAACAGAAACAGATTCATATACATTTTCATATTCAGATTTTGCAAAAGATCATACGTGGTATACCCATTAGCTATCAGAACAGATTGGTCCAGAGACCCACATACATAGTTGGTACCAACAACCACAAAGGTCCATAACTTGTACGCAAGTAGCCATGGTATTGTTACCCCCAGGCAAGGGCCACGTGCAGATTGGCTGCAGTATTGTTACCCCCGGGCGAGGGCCACATGCAGATTGGTCGCAGTATTGTTACCCCCGGACGAGGGCTGCGTGAACTAAGGGTGCCACAAATACTTTTTAGAAAATTGGACATTCATTCATCATTAGTAAGATAGCATTTCAGAAAACAGATTATACTATATCACTCAGAAAATAATTAGGTTAAACATAACTTTACAGAGTTATTACTCATAGTGGGCCTTGAGTCAGACAGACGGAGTAAACTTGGTCAAACGGTACGTGGCACGTGACCTACACAACACATAACAGACGCACACTTGAAACACACGTTCTAATTGTACAAAACTTATGTCGATAGTTCTTAGTGTGTTTCTAACCTTAAATCCTCACTATAGAGTCTTAAACATGGCCTAGGAATGCCTATGATGGAATGAGGATGCAAAGATGCACTTTAAAACACTTTTCAAAATTTTGCTGAAACAGGGGCCCCGC